CTGCGAGGGGGCGCCACCATCGCTACGAACAGTCGACTCCGCCCACTTTCGCTAATAGTCAACGACGGCGTGTTGTACCTACGAAGCCGGGTCAACGCAGCGGCGGGAGTAACCGAAACTCAGAAGACACCGGCGATACTCGACGGGAACCATCGAGCCACCCAACTGTGGATAGAACACACACATAGAAGCCTTCTCCACGCCGGGGTGGAAACTACAGTCAACGAGTGCAGACAACACTATTGGATTCTACGCATTCGACCCGTCACGAAACGAATAATAAGCAGTTGCATAAACTGCCGCATAAGGAGGGCGGCGCCACCGTCGCCACCTACCGGAGATTTGCCGCCGACGCGCCTCGCTCATCACCGACGGCCATTCACGTACACCGGATTGGATTATTTCGGGCCGTTGACAGTCACCGTGGGCAGGCGTCAAGAAAAACGCTACGTCGCGCTCTTCACATGTCTTACTACGAGAGCCGTGCACCTCGAGTTGGCCGCCTCGCTATCGACGGACTCCGCCATACACGCACTACGGCGCATGATAGCGCGCCGCGGGTGCCCTACCGAAATTTGGTCGGACAACGGGACCAACTTCCACGGCGCAGAAAACGAAATGAAGAAGGCAGTGCAGCAGGCGACGAGCGAAGAGGCAAGCATCCGCAGTATCCGGTGGAGGTACATACCGCCGGGAGCACCATTCATGGGCGGGGCGTGGGAACGCCTCGTGAAGTCCGTCAAAATCGCGCTAAGTGCGGTTTTGCAAGAAAGAAGTCCGCCCGAAGAGGTACTTACGACGCTACTCGCCGAGGCCGAATACACCGTGAACAGCCGGCCTCTCACCCACGTGTCCGTGCACCATGAAGACGACGAAGCCATCACTCCCAACCACTTTCTGCTGGGAGGTTCAGCGCGCGTCCCACTGCCGGGCGAGTTCGACGAGAGCGACCTGATAGGCCGCCCGCACTGGAGAGCAGCACAGCGCCTCGCCGACCACTTCTGGGCGCGCTGGGTACGAGAGTACCTACCCGAGCTGCAACACCGGCGGGAGCCCCACGGGACCGGGAAGACCATCGCCGTCGGGGACATCGTGCTCATCGCCGACAGCAACCTGCCACGCAACACGTGGCCCAAGGGAGTCGTCATCGCCACTTTTCCCGGGCGAGACGGCACAGTACGAGTCGTCGATCTGAAGACAGCCGGAGGAGTGCTACGCAGACCGACCAAGCGACTGGTGATATTCGCATCGGCCGCCACTCCCACGGAAGATGGATGCAGCGACGAGTCAACCGACGCTGCACGGCGGGAGTATGTACGCGACGACCGAAGCGAAAGAAAATGAACTTACAACGATACGAGAGCAATGTATAAAAATGTATCTATAATTTCACATGAATCGGTTGTATACGCATTAAAAATATCATTCCCTTGTTGTCTTATTAGAATGAGTCGGATATCGCAACAATAGATAGCTCTGCCCATAGTAAACCATTGTAAAATTGATAGTTCAGAGCGATATTCCGCCCCGTTCTCTCCAATAATCTTATAAGACTTTATCTAAACGATCGCCACGACGCCAAGCGGTGGCGCGGGGAAACTAGTCAGAATACTGATAGTTCCGACCTATAGGAGGGACGGAGACAATAGGTTGTCCTTGTCACACGTCTTATAGGATTTTGCCTGAGTTGACAATTTTCGATAATAGTATGTTTTATGTTTGGATTGATTTATTTTATGTCTTATTAGATAGTAGGTAGTTATAGGAATAATATATCGAAGTTTTGTATGAATCGTGTTAGTAGTTTAAGCGTAATTAAGGAAAATATCGGGAATAGTTTTTTATGAATAGTCAATAGGATATAGGTATAATTGTTATAATAATGATGTCATTTTATGTGTTTTTACTTCTTCTTTAAAATGGTGTATGATAATTAGACATTAAGCGAGTATAAGTAGGTTTTTTAAGACTTTTTAATTTGTAAACTTTAAAGGGCCGTAGAGCTGTTGTTTATTAATATTCTTGTAAGAAACTTGTTGTATCAGATAGGTAACACGTAGGGCTACGTAAATAAATAGGTATCGCATCAATAAGTGTAAAAATGTACTGTGTAGGAGAAAAAACATGTTTGTATAGAACCGTTTTCTGAGACATGTCGCGCTCCCCACCCGGCGCGCCCGGAGCGCGCGGGTGGGGCAGCGAAGCCCCGTGGCAGGGCGAAGCCCTATGGAGGGGGAAAGTATAAATATTGCGGAGACCTATTTTTTGCGCGCCACACCTAAAATATCGTGTTTACGGACACATAACTATGTTAAAAATATGCCCAAATGTATGCCCGATGTATGTACAATTAGTTTTAAGCTCGCACTATTGTAAATCTTGAGAAAATGAAAAATAAAGTATAGCGTGGGTGAGGTAATGGATCGCTGGCCAGCTCAGTCCTAGCATATAAAATTCGAGTCGGAACATGCCCCGACATGCATTCAGCGACAGGCGCTCCTACCCTAAGGAACAGGAAGAAACAACCAAGCGGTTCACTCTGGACCTGAAGCCTCCTCTCACCGGCCATCCATTATCAGCGCCCACCGATTTCTTCAATACCGAACACCAGGGGTTTTATTCGCCGAAACTACAGTCCACTACAGTCAAGACTCCTGCGTGTAACTTCCTCCACCCCCTCAGTACGAGTCGGTAACTGTCCGCTACTGCGACAGCCCGGCGTCCCGTACAGACAATGTTAAATTTGGCCTAAGAACCAACACCAATTTGGCATTTATGATAATTCTTAGTATATTTTTTGCGATAATTATCAGTATTGAGATTGTGACGGACACTTCCAGTTAAGTAAGCTATATTAAAATGTTGAAAAATAATCTGAGACTACCATTTTATGTGTATAATCTATGGCAGCGCTGCAAACAAAACACTCTTTCTTCCTTATGCCGGCACTTCACTTGGCTATTCGTGTTTGCTTTTTGAAAACTTCCTTTTTATTCCATATTAAGCATGACAAGGGTAATTTTCCAATTACAGAGCATGATGCGACACAGTGGCGCACAATGCCGAATTATGATGATGCTTAATTGGAACGTGAATTAGTTTTCAAATGCAACAGCAGAGTGCGCTAAGATAGGCATTATGCCGCATAATGTGCTGTAGTACTGTAATTGGAAAACTACCAATGACAGACTGTTGTCAAGTGAAGGGCCGGTATAAAGCTCGATACTCTATGGTTGTGGTGCAGGCAGTTTGCATTCTTAGTAATCTGTGGCATTCGTGAATTCTCGTTTCGGATTTCCTGTTGTGTGTGTTTATTTGCGATTGTTTTTCCTTTAATTTAACTATTTCGGCTATCTAATATGCCATCGATGTTACCAAATAGCAGACCGCTTATTACCAAGTGCTAGAGAACCTGTGCCGCAACCTCCTGAGAGGATCATACTGCCAAATTATTCAAGAGCAGCTGATACACATTCACGCTGCATATTTATACAATATACATGTAAAATACAATATGATACAATTATGTGAGAAATAGTCAAAAAATAAGAAGCAAAACTACAGTTTTTATTTTATTCATGATTCCTACCTTACCAAGTTTCCTAATAGTTACTCTTTAAAATCGCATCGAATAAAAATGAATTACTTGTAATGTTAATTCAATTCATACTAAGTTCATAGGTTGACCTATGTTTCATTTAATATTAAACATTACCTCAAAAAATATTAAGTTTTCCTGATAATTTAAGTTCTCAGAAGTGTCCGTCAATAATCTTTGTTTTTATAGTCATTTACTTGCAATTTCGAACCCAGAAAATAATATTTCATGATTGTTGGTTCTTAGGCTAACAATGTACGCAGAACAATGTCCTTTTTTGCTATAATGCTTTAGCGGTTGTGCAGTTTTTTATTTGTTTAAGCTGAGATGAAGCAATTTTCAGTATTATCTCGGCTTTTGCGTGTCTGTCTCTATCTTCTTTATCTTCCGACGTACCATTACGGTCAATGGGAATCTGAATGTATTTCCATAGCCTGTGCTTTATTAGAATAGCCTCAGCTTACATCACCGAAGTATCATAATTTTCTCTAGTGAGAGGGTCGTTTTTTAATACTCGACTCAATAACATTTAATTTTCATTCTTTACAAGACCATTCAAATTATGACATTCACATAATTATGGACATGATAAATTGACGACATCGAATAATTATAATATTATAATAAGAATTATTGACATTTATATAGGTAATTGAATAGAAAAACTTGCATGTTATCTTTATATGACTAAATAGGTTAAGATACAACTTAGATAAAATGTAACACCATTATTTGTAACCTATTTATTGCAAATAAATTGAATTGAATTGACATTTTTATGGAATTATAAAAGATGTGTATGTACTCCCTGTTCAAAATTGTTTTCATTTTCATTCTGCTACCATATTAAGTAATAAATAAATTGGCTGGAATACATTCAGGAAAGCTTGTTTTATTTAAGATAATAAATAATTTGAGTACAAACAAAAAGCAAATTCTATACAATGTCAGTAACATAGTCAGTGGCAAACGTTCAAGAGAAGGATATCTGTAGTCTATGAATAGGTATACAGGCGGGCCTCACACATTTCCCAGACAAAAATTGACATTGGCCGGAGTAACAATACAAACAGTCGTTACTAGATAAGCTTATACAGGGCCGGATTTAGAGGTGTGGTTGCCTTGGGGCAATGAAGGTGTGGGCTCTTATTTTAAAATCTGGAAACGCGGCCCACTGACGATTTGTAATGGTAGGGTAACCCATTGAAATGTGTTTATTTTTTATCTATGTTGTGGCCCCGCCTGCTCTGCCTTAAATCCAGCCCTGAGCTCATACTTACTTGTGGATACATTTATTGATGATGTAACACTATCACAAATTTCATTATCCTTCACACAAAAATTCTAAAAAGCATTTTTAAAACAATGTTAAACATAAACACAAGAAGAAATCTCAACTCACTTTGCATTTGATCTCGACAGCTTGCCTCTCCTTCTTCTTGCGACGCTTTAACTTTTTCTGTTCTTTCCGCTGTTGCCGGGTCAGTTCCTCCTGTGTGATCTCGTCGTACAAAAGTTGCAGTTTAGAGACGCCGCTTTTCTGTTCGACCGCAGTCTCGAACTTGCGGTACAATGCTTCCACGGCGACCGCGGCGAGGGTTTGACACGTGCCTTCTTCCTCCCGCAATCGCAGCGAGATGCGTTGGAGCCGTTCGTAAATGCATATACCAAGACATATTAACACCTACAAAAACGAAAAATAAGGTTAAATGAAGAATCTTTTTACATCTTTCTATGGATCACTGCTAATGATGCGTAACCGGAAACAGGGGGCCATTCGCCCAACGGAAATGCTTTGGAAAACGCTAACGCTTTCGATTTGATTTTGTTATTTCTGACCGCCGAAGGTTTTCAAATACCTCACGCACATTTTTTCTAATATTGTTACTACCAATGCAAAAGAAAAAAAAGAGCACGAGGCATTTGAAAACCTCAGGCGGCTAGAAATAACAAAATGAAATCGTAAGCGTTAGCGTTTTCCAAAGCATTTCCGTTAGGCGAATGGCCCCCAGGTTATTTATGTTGTGGAAAATTAATTAAAGTAAATGTTTTCCCTGCAATACATTAAGTTATATAAACATAACATTAGTGTAAATTCTAGCAGTTTAGAATCTGCTAAAAGTAAAACTCTTCAGTTAATAGGGTTCTCAGGTAGCTGGAATTTAAGCAGCTCCTTCCTTATCTGAACGAATGTAAAGACCACTATGCTACCAGAACCTTAGGGAATGTTTTATAAACATGTTTCTATACAATTTGACAAAATGTGTGACTTTATCCAAGTGAAGAACTATCATTGATACTCTACAAATATATACTCGTAACATTAAAACCTACCTCTTCTTGTGCAATTTCAAGTGTTTTAGCGTGTCTCTCCCGATGGTTCCCAAGTAATTCTGGCTCAGCTCTGGCTATGAGTTGCACTATATAATCGGTTTTGGCTTGTAAGTGGAGATGCTTATCCAGTAGGCATCTTTTGATACCACCATATAATGCACCTACATAACCTTTTTCTTTTTGTGGCTCCTTTTCTTCAACTAGTAGTTGAAATGCACGTAACACCTAAAATTTTGAAATTTTTTAGAAACAGCTAAGCTTCCAACAGGCCAAGTATTTGCCATAATGATAAAACAACATTATCAAATACAACATATTAATAAATAACTTCATCCTGAATTTGTTGCTACACAAATAAACTGACAATTGTTCCATCAAAACAAAAGTAATCAACCGTTAGGTATATTATAAAACCAAAGTATATATATACAATTAGGTCGAATACGCTGACCTAAAAGCTAAAAGTATTATCATCAAATGATTAAGACAACGCTGGTTCTCAAACAACTGTAAAAATATATTGCTTTAATTTTTTATAGTCACTAAAATTACAGTTTTTTTTGCTATTAACGGGATTGCCACCATGTACCATGTTTTTCCGAGTCCCCGATATTTCGGCTCTGCTTCAAGTATCATGATCACGAAGAAACTTACTAATAACGGAGTTACTTCGACAGCATGGCGCTTGCAACCGTGCCGAAATATCAGGGACTCGCAAAAAAGGTACATGGTGGTAGCGTTGCCATCTCTAAAAAACAGAATACCGGACTTACCCGCTAGAAAGCCAGACATCTGGGTCTCACGGCTGGACGGACGCAAAATAAAAAGGATTTTTGACTAAATGTTTAAATAAAACACAAGTATTTTTTAAGAAAGTTTGAATTGGTAATATAATTTTTTTATTTGCATATTAAGCAAAGTGTGTGCAGCTTGCTTGCGTCAAAAGAAAATAAGCGTAACAGAAACAGGACGGACCGGACGCAGTCAAATTAGCCTAGACTAGAGATCAAAAAGCCTAACACTAACCGGCTTTATCCGGAGTGATGGCAACGCTACATGGCAGCAATCCCGCTAAAGAAAACAAATACTCAAGGCCACACAGTTGGACTTACCTTAGTTTTACAGTCAGTGCAGAACCGATGCTTTCTGAGATAGTTGTGTAGCGTGTCGTGTAGCGTGTTGAAATGCACTAGAGTGACGTGGTCCCTCGCGGGCGCCCGCATGGCGTCCCAGGCGGCGCGCCACGCGGCCCGCCCGCCCCAGCCCCACGCGCCCCAACCCCACGCGCAGCCCCCGCCCGCGCCCCATCCGCGCGCGCTACCCGCCTCTAGGGAGTGTAGGGTGCACCGCTGCGACTTCTTCCACCGCGGCTGACTTAGGATCAGACACTCGATGCCCGTGCTAAAAGAACGTGTAACTACGTTAGAGTCTGTGCGGAAAGAGAATGGGATTTAGATTTGAGGGCGCTGTAGTGATTTTCTACCGTATTAAATACAAAAAACCGCAAGAAATCACAACAACAAACAAATCCGTATCAATACAAAACTTTGACGTTTTACAGATTGCTGGGTTTGATTGCCAAATAAAAATCTTAACGTTACTTCCGTTTTTCGCCACGCCCATTTTCTTTCCGCACAGACTATAGTGAATATTACTTTAGGCGCATTACGCGGCCCGCGTGCCTCAGCTCCCCGTGCAGCCACCGCACCGCCTGCGCCACATTCGCGCGCGGTACTTGGTGCACCACTGCGACTTATTTCATCGCGACTGACTTAGGAACAAACACTCGATCCCGTCGACAGATGAAAACTTCTTTTAAGCAAATTTTCGGATAGGGATTAAAATTATGTGTAACACTCGTTATTGCTTGTTGAATAATAGTGGGGCATTATCTCTTCAGCGGTGTGGTGTGAGATGGGTCGTTGCATTCCCTAAAATATGGTTGAGCGAAGCGATGGCTGGTTCATGCGTCATGCTCGTGAATGAGTGCTGCCAGCAGAGATATGAGTGCTGCCAGCGGAGATATGTCTGCTCTTGCTACATTGGGTACTATTAATTGTTGTATTTAACTTTAATCATACTTTTTTTATGCCTAAACAGTAGGGCATAGCATTCCTCAACATTCCAAAACTTAAACTTTGTTAAATCAGTTTTTCATATTTTTTTATTTTAGTCACAATTTTTTATATCATTTACATTTGTAATGGAAAGTGACTTCATGAGTTATCTCATATTGAAGTCATTTTTCAATTTGATGACTCTGTATATAATACAGGGAGAACACTGTATAAAAACCCTTGCTGTGTTTCTTGCTGGTTCTTCTCAGTACAAGGTCTCCCGCCATAGATTTGCTAACTGATGGCGTAGCTTTTTGACATTCACAAGTGCTTGTAACAGCCTAGACTGAATAAACGATATTAAATTTTTAATTATTTGATGTGAAAACTTTTTAAGCGCATTTTGCGGCCCTGCTGCCCCAACACCACACGCAGCGCGTGAATTGTTGGCATTGGGCATTGGCAGTGGGTGTGGATGTGAATTGTGCGCAACTCATTATTTTGCTTGTTAAATATTAGTAGGATTATCAAAGGTGAAAACTCCTTTGGGCACATTTCATGGACCATCCGCCAAGCCCCATGCGCATCAGCCGCAGAAAATCAAAGAATCTGTGTGCAAAAGTCATTCAGTGCAAATGTGTTATGCTGAGCAGAGTGTAGGGAGGGGGCAATCCACCATGCAGTATTGTTTAAGAACATTGTTGCAGATAAATAACTGTTAGATGTTTAAAACTTGTCATTTTGATAAAGTTCCATGATTGGGAATTAAATGTTTCTTAATACAATTTTACTCTTTGCTCTTTGCGCTCTTACAAGTTTAATTAAGATTGATCAGGCGTCTTCAAATCAGAATCGTTTCAAAAAAGCTTATAGACCAATATAACCAAGCTCAAATCGGCTACATCAATCGAGGGTAAACGGGGTGGGGTGATTGGTCTCCTTTTATGAGCCACCTGAGAAAATCAACAAAGTGTGATCATTATCACCATAAGAGATGATTTTGAAATTGGGACTTCTATGAGAAGGCGCAACATTGATGTAAATTAATAAGTGTTGGGCTGAGAAAACTGCTTTGTGGTACTCCGAATTCTATGCAATCAGCTCTCTTGACACCATTAACAGTAAGATACTGATTACTATTTGAGAAAGCTCTTATTCCTGGTCTCTCTAGGTTGTTCAGCAGGACAAGAACAAAAACTGTACTAGTTCTAGAAATACAGAGGCAATATTTCTGTTCCCATCTAGGTTCCGTGCTTCCTGGAGTAAAGCCATATTGCCCAGGAGCCAGTGCAGATGCGGATATGCTCTTTAGAAAGTCCAATAATGGCTTATTGATTAAGTGATCCAATAAATTTTACATTGCTGATTAAATAGAGATAGGACTATTATTGGGCAGTCTGTTTTCCCTGACATACAAATAGGGTAGACAAAGGGGCTCATTTACTCTAGGGACAAAAGAATATAAAGGCATTTGTTACTGACCTAAATTGTAATTTATGCAATAATTAAAAAAAATATACAGTTCATGGATGGTGTTTGTATATTCTCATGTTTAACTACTGCACCAGGTGCCGTCATGTTTTCCTAATAATAATCATAGGAGATTTGTTTTTTACGAATTATACATTATTAATATGCAGAAGCATGCACATTAATTCTTTTGAGGCAAGAATATTTTTTTATAATACCTAATAAAAGCACCTAGTCAATATATCATCCCATCTCACAGCACAGTCCACTCTGAGACATTATGGTAGTATCAACCTAGTCTACTCTTGTGGGGCATGGTATGTGAAGTTCTTAAAACTAATTATTCCAAATATTATATCATGGAAATATAAATTCCAGAAAATCTGCCCAAGATCTAAATATTATTTTATACTTTTTGATAATTCCATAAGAACCTAAAATTTTTGTAGTATCCTTTATAAACTTCTTTGTATTTCTGTTCAACTGTTATTGAGTAATAATAATTCATTACAATAGAAAATCAACTCTGTCAATCACTTTATAAAATTTAAAATATGTTTTTTACATAATTTAAGTGAGTAAGTCATCACTTACGTGTGTCCATTTAACAATGTAGCTAATGACTGTGGATGAACAATTTTGTCTTCTCTGATTGTCATTATTTCATCTGACGTCAAGATTAATGGATCCAATGTAGGGTGACCTGATTTGCATAGTTGATAAAAGAGACGTTCCACACTGGAAAATATTAATGAATTAAAATAATTAGCTATGTTTGAGACACTCAGGGAGCACAATTATTTCCTGTTTTAGTGAATTAAAATTTTCCCTTTTTCATCTTTTTTAATTGCCATGTAAACTAAGAGTTAGGTTTTAATTCAAAACAATATGAAATGTATATTATTTTTTAGTTTGTCAAAAAACAGGGGGCAGTACAGGGGGTAGATTACATTAAGTAAATAATTATATTTAATTATTACCATATCTATGTTTGGTACAATATATCAGCGACAGAGATAGAACAAACTGATGCACTAAACATAAACAATATACTTATCATCACTACTGTAAAAACTTCTAATCCAAAATAGATTATATTCTTACCTTCTTCGACAACCAACACAGGGAATGCTTTGATTTAGTACATTAAATATATCGGAGGCGTCTACTCTGAGTGTTGCTTTTAATTCGTCTGTGGATAAAACTCTGTATTTACGCATGAACTCTTCGTATTCGCGACCTTTCACTTGTGGATTATCACAAATCAAGCCCATTGTGTTCAAATCCATAATCATCTAAAAAGAAAAAATAGAATATAACAAAGGAATAACATCATAAAAATAAGGTCATTCAGTTAACGTCACTACTTTCGGAAGAAATCAATGAGACCTAAAAAAGCAATCATCACTTTCAAGTTACATTTGACATAGTCAGTTAAAATTGGCTGTCGTTTATTCATTAAAATTAAATTAATGATAAACGAGAAAACCATCGTTAATTAAAGATAACTCGTAATAATCTTTTGGAATTAATCTACGTTTGTGGTAATGTCAAAGTACGAAATCAGTTACTTACTGTTAGATTTTCATAAATAGTTAACGGCAATTGTCGCCTCTTTATGACGGGTTCTTTTTCGCTATTGTATATATCCACCAATTTCGCCATTTTTATGAATATTCACATAAAATCGCCGACAAAATACACAAATATAACAAAATGACGGCCAAATTCTTGAGAAATACACGTCGTGTTGCATTTGACACAAAATCAATGTTACCATTTTAAAAAATACATTTTCTTGTAGGGATATTATTTGATAGCATCGATGCATCGAAAACATCGATGGTTACAATGAAAGACATCGAACCACTCCGATTTAACGACAGACGAGCTTGACTCCTGGCAAGTCGCTACGCACCGACGTAAAAATCGGCACGTGGAGGACAAAACCAGGAATCCAGCTCAGGACACCAAACCGAACACGGGCCGACTGAAGCACGGTAAACGCGCTAGGAAGGCCCGCGACAGACTTCTCTCGGCGGAGACCACCAGACAAGCGGAAGCGGGTCAGGAAGGAACCCAGGACCAGGGACAGACAGACGGACAAAGGAAATGGACTGACAGACGGACAGAAAAAAGACAGACCAAGACCGGACAGACAGACAGACAGGAGGCCTCAAAGAGGCCCAGACTTGATGACACGGTGTCACCGAGGGGGCAATATAAAAAGCCCAAAAACGACGAACCGCGTCGCTCTTCTGGGAAGGTCTCCTTCGCCGACGCAGCTACTGCAGACCTGCTGGTGATTATCACCAGCAAAAAGACGGGACACATTAGTGCCACTCAGGCTGGGTTGGTCCTTAAGGCCCTGGAGGAGGCCGTTGTGGAGGAACTGCTAACAGCAGGATCCTCAACGGACGAAGCCCCAAACCTTAAGGGAAAACCCATCATTGGGGACGGCGCCCTGAGCCTCTGGTGTGAAACACCCAAAACACTGGAGTGGGTCAGGAAGGTAGTGGACAGTTTAAAAATACCGGGGTTAGACGACTTAGTAGTGCAGCGCCAGATCGACAGGCCGAAGAGACTGGTTTGTGGCCTCCTCATACCGGGGACGCGAGAACCACACACAATCGCCAAGCTGCTGCGCTACCAGAACAAGTTCGCAGAGGTTGACCGATGGATCCTGCACAAGGCCATCGCAGGTGACGATAGCACCTTTTTGGTGTTCAGCACGACCAGGGACGTCGCGGAGGGGCTACTAGCTAGAGGCAGACGCCTCTGCTACTTGATGGGCTCTGTATACGTGAGGTTCAGGAACCAGGGTGGTCAGTACCTGGAGAGCCTGCCACCTCTAGAGGAAAAAACATCTACTCCGGTACAGAGCACGTCTAGACCAGCCGTGACACAACAGACCATCACAGACACTCCAGTTGCAATGGAGTCCACATCTGAGGAGAAGGGGGACACAGACGTGGTTGACGAGTGGGCAGACAAACTTGGGGGGATCGACATCAGTCAGGAGGTTGATGTCGATGTGCTTCTCGCCTCAGATGGCGCCCCAACAGAAGACAATTAAGCTCCTGCAGACAAACCTCCAGCACAGTCGCACCGCAACGGCTCAACTAAGGAAGTGGCTGGAGGAGAACAACGACGGGGCTATTGCTCTGGTCCAAGAGCCGTGGATCAGATCCAACACCATATGTGGCCTCAACAACACCGGTGGTAAGAATTTTTACAACCCAGGTAACCGCGCACCGCGGACCTGCATTGTATGTTCAAGACACTTACAGGCAAAAATAATGACACAATTTTGTTCTAGCGACATAACAACAATACAAATAATACAACAGCAAAATCCAAGTGTACCTGTCCTGGTAGTTGCCTCTGCCTACATGCCTGAAGGAGAGGAAACTCCGTCAGGGGAACTGGCTGAGCTGGTGAGACACTGTGAACAAACTGACAAGGCGCTGATCATCGGCAGCGACTCCAACGCCCACCATCAATAGGCTAGTTGACCCTTTTTGGAAAAAGGTTTTAAATGGTTAATAAATGTTCTATTAGACCGAAAAAAAATGTATTGTATTTTTTTGAGACCTAGAAAGCTACAAATCTTTATTTTTAAAATAGACTTTTCATGGACATACAAAAACGCTGTCGGCCATTTTAGTCTATAGATTATCTATGCTATGACGTTGACGGTAGTAAACAAAAACTCGTAAGCACGTAGAAAATAACCTATCTGAGTTTATAATAAAAAGAAAACATGATTTCTAATAGATACCACGAAAAATATAGTAATTATCATTATTGTATTGTACGAGAATGTAAAAACACATCCTTGAAGACTCCAGGAAATTTGTGGATTAAAGTGCCGAAAGAAATTAACCTACGCAATACCTGGTTAGAACTTGCTAAAAGTGATCCTGCAACTTTATCGACTCATAGTAAAATTTATTTTTGCGAAGATCACTTTGATGTAAGTACTCATTGAATAATATTTTAAGTCTCTTCATTTATTATCAGTTTTAATAATAAAAGTTTTAAAGTTATGTATGAATGACATCTAGTTGTTTACTAAAAGAGACGTCACAATCATGGCGGATGTGGCGAACAGCGATTTTAGTGTTTAAAAAGTATAGACTAAAAATATTTTTTTTAAATTAAATTCCTACAACAATCTTCTGCTTTTATGAAGTGAAATCGATATATTTAGGTTCCTTAGACCAAATACTTTAAGAAATAAACATTTATTTAATACAATTCGACATGAGTCAACTAGCCTATTGTGGGGCATGACGAAAAGCAACAAACGAGGTGAGGAATTAGTAGATTACCTATTTACCACAAACCTTAACATAATAAACACAGGTTCTGAACCTACTTTCGTAACAGGAAGAGGTAGATCTATCATCGATCTTACTCTTGCATCAAGGAGAGCAGCGGGATTGATCTCTGACTGGCACGTCTCCCCAGAGGCATCCTGCTCTGACCACAGGTGGATTAGGTTCAACATCGCGGTACAGCGTGTTACCCAGTCACCAAGACGCATACCCAAGAAAACGAATAGAAGCCAATATCGCAGACAGGTAACACTATCACTGCAACATATGCAGGCTGAAAGCTTAGACGAAACCAATAAGATAGACGAAACAGCTGAGGAATTAACAAGGGTAATTATCTCATGCTATCAGACAGCCTGTCCTCTCAGTACACCATCATCCAACTCGGATGCCAGCCAGTCGTGGTGGGGCCCCGAGCTAGAAAAAGGTAAGAAGACTTTTTAACAGGGCCATGAACACATGTGACGACCAAGACTGGGATGCGTATAAAGATGCCAAGGCTCTTTATAAAAAACGCATCCGATACTGGAGCAATGGGTCTTGGAGGAAATTTTGTTCTGAAATAGACTCATGCACCAAGGCAAATAAGGTAAGGAAACTGCTTTCCAAAGACAGACAACAAGACCTTTCACAGCTCAGGAAAGCTGATGGCTCCCTCACAGAGACAGTGGAGGAGGCACAGAGGGTACTGCTCGAAACCCACTTTCCAGGCTGCATCATAGACACGACACACACCTGGAATGACACTTGCTGGACCCCCACGGAACAATCCTGGAACACTGCAATGAGGACAGTGTCCATGGACAAGTTAAGGTGGGCCATTAACAGCTTCCAGCCATTTAAAGCAGCCGGACCAGATGGCATCTTTCCGGCGCTGCTTCAATGGGCAGGTGAAGCGCTAATCCTTATCCTGGTGCCCCTCCTGAGAGCGGGTCTTGCATTCAGATACACGCCGAAGCCTTGGAGGGAGGTCAAGGTAATCTTCATACCAAAGTCAGGTAAGGCCGACTACAACGAAGCGAAATCTTTCAGGCCAATAAGTCTCTCATCATTTCTGCTAAAAACCTTAGAAAGACTGTGTGACAGAGAGCTGAGAGATAACCAATTAACCAGCTTTCCACTACATCTAAACCAACACGCCTATTGTCCAGGCAAGTCGACAGAATCTGCACTACATGCAGTCGTAAGTAAAATAGAGGATAGTCTCAGACGAAAAGAGCTATGTCTGGGCACCTTTATAGACATAGAAGGCGCGTTTGACAAAACAAGCTTCGCCAGTATTGTAAACGCACTTGGCAAACACGGAGTCGATGAGAACATTATATACTGGGTAAGTAACATGCTCCGTAACAGACTAATCAGACTACAAGACGACAACCATCTCAGAGCATTGGCGACTAAAGGATGTCCTCAAGGAGGAGTACTATCGCCTCTGCTATGGAATGTAGTCGCAAACGACTTAATTACCAAACTAAACAACCTTCACTTCCACACGGTGGGCTATGCAGATGACCTGGCAATCCTAATCCCGGGTAAGTTTGCGAGCACCGCTTGTGACATTACACGGGGGGCAATGAAGGTAGTTGAAAAATGGTGTGACGACTACGGCCTTAAGGTGAATCCAGTGAAGACAGAATTAGTCATGTTCACGAATAAAAGAGCCTTAGGCGACTATCGGCTACCGAAACTATTTAACACGACACTAAGGCTCTCCAACGAGGTAAAGTATCTAGGAATAACCCTAGATTCCAAACTGAACTGGGGTTCACACATAGACAAAACTACTACTAAGACCAACATCATTTTCTGGCAATGCCGCAAAATGATTAGCAAAACCTGGGGACTATCACCACTCATTGTTAGGTGGCTGTACACGACCATAATTAGGCCCATCATCAGCTATGTAGCAGTAGTATGGTGGACAAAGACAAACCAGGTAACGACAATTAATAAGTTAAGACGTCTCCAGAGGCGGGCCTGCTGTGCAATCACTGGCTGCATGAAAACCACTCCCACATCAGCACTGGAGACTATACTTGACGTGAGACCACTACATTTGTTTATACAACAGGAAGCTGCTTGTACAGCCACACGACTAAGCATGCTGGGGCTATGGAGGGACAACAGCTCCCCACACACCAGTATTTTAGCAGACATATACAGGTACTTTCCGTACTTTGCTGCAGTAAACGACCTCATTCCAAAAACGTACGTATTCGACAAAAAATACAAAATTCAACTTTATGAAGACACTCCGGACCACTGTCTGCAAAAGGAGTTGAGGGTCTACACAGACGGCTCAAAAACCAACTACGGTACAGGTTCGGGTGTCTTCTCTGAAGACCTAAATATACACATCTCAACAGCATTGGGAGCCTATAACACGGTCTTCCAGGCAGAGTGTGTGGGCATCATCAAGGCCGCTGAAGCGATAGATTGTCGCAAAGTAAGAGGAAAACACATTCGTATTCTCTCTGACAGCGCTTCTGTCCTACAGGCACTGGACAACAATATAATGACATCAGGCTTAATTTATGAATGCCACTGTAAGTTGACTAATATTGCTAACGACAATAGATTGACTTTGCAGTGGATTAAAGGACACAGCGGCTCAAGGGGTAACGATGCGGTGGACTGCTTAGCCAGGGAAGGTTCTAGCAGGACGGCCATTGGTCCGGAGCCTATTGTACCCATACCCTATCGACAGCTGCGAACATGGATAAGGGAGCGCTGTCAACGACAACATAACGAATACTGGACAGAACTCACAGACTGCAGGCAAGCTAGGGAAGCCGTTCCCAAGGTAAACCTGCAGCTAACACGTAAGTTAATCAGACTTCCTAGACAAGCCTTAAAACAAATCGTGGGTATACTCACGGGTCACGGCTATTTCAACAAACACCTCTGTAATATAGGTATTTCTGACAGCCCTCTGTGCAGAGCCTGCCTGGAGGACGAGGAGACGAGCGCCCATGTGCTGCTGGAGTGCACGGGCGTTGCAAGACAAAGGATTTCTCTAATGGAAAGCCCGAAGACTATAGTAGAGGCCTGCAGTAACGTTCGGGGACTGCTGAGCTTTCTGGAGGAGCTGGGATGGCAGGACTGATGCCAATCCCCACGCAAAATAGGCACCAGATGTCGAGTTGCGGAAACAGCCCGCCGTTCTACTAAGACTAAGACTAAGACCACTCCGATTTTTTAAAAAGCTGTCAATATAGTCAATTCATCGATGTTTTTAAAAAAACCAGCGAATTGGTAATAGACAAGTTTGACCACGTAGTGATTATATACACTTTAGCTTGACCTCAGTAAAAAAAACTTAAGTTTGACCACTATTATTATTCTGAACGCATCATTATTCCGAATTCTCAAATATGGATCCGATGCTGGCAGCACTGCGCAAGAGTCAGTGCAGTGACAATTATAAAAACTAGGTACTTTACTCATGTCGGCTGGCGAGCAAGTATGTTTCTGAACATTTCATTACATTCAGTTTAGTGAAACAAAATAAGATTGAAGTATACTTCTAATATTCTTTTGACAGGCTTGGCAAAAATGTCACGGGTTATTTAGTGTTTTTTGAAGTTATACTTCTTTAGCCGCGTTATGAAAAAAATATGAGAGTGAAATTTTGAGATGCGCGCGCATCACTGTAACAGAAAAGTAACACCATGAAGTCGGCCGCTAAACCGCACATTACTCGTAAGTCTCGAAAAAAAGCTTCCAACAAAATAGTAATAGGATCTCTTAGTCGCACATGTTGGGACGCTCGTCGCCTCTGATCACTGTTTTCATATTTAGAATATTTATCCACATGTTTCTAGTTTCTATATTCTTAACACGTGTTATAATGTTATACAAATGCGAAATTTATATGTGTTAATAAATTTTATTCAGTAGTGATTTAAATTGAATATTTTGATTATTTATTAAATTTTTCAAATTAAAACTGAACTTTATTGACTGCGTTGACTAGCCTTTTCCAATCCTTTTATTATCTTATTGTAATTAATTATCTGCATGCAATTAAAAACTATTTTTTAATAATTCCAAAAAGAAGTATAACTTCTCACGCGCGTACTAAGTACACGCACCCATTTTTTTAATTTGATCTTGTGTAAAATATAATACAGATTTTTTAGATACATTGATTTACTTGTTTTAACTTTTACCTACTTATTATGAAAGGAGTTAATTTTAATAATTATCTAAACAATAATAAAATAATGGCTTAAGCTCTTTTCATAAACTTCAATTTAAAAAAATAATGTGAAAAGATGGCCTTTTTTGAGAATAATCACTTTCCACATTAGTTGAGTTTTGTAATAAAATTTTAAAAATAGTACACGATGTTTAAAAACATTGATGTTTTCATCCGATGCATCGAAAGACATCGATGCGATGTATCAAATCAAGTAAAACATAGATGTTTTTTCAGAGTGGACACCCCTATTTTCTCGTATATGTAATTTTTTTTACCAATTTTTTCCTAAAGTGAAGGTATGTAACTATATAAATACAGCCAAGTCTAACCCTGGTCACTTCAATTCACAGGAATGAATGTGCAAACCCGCAAGTGGAGGGCGACATTTGCAATTGCGAATGCCCTGACTTTACAAAGTTTATGCAAGGTCTGTGCTTTTCCGTAATAAGTCAGTTTTTGAGGAGCAATGAAGCACGTGCACTTCGAACCTTCGCATGGTCTACCCATCTACACACATATTGCTGCAAGCAGCCACTTGGGTATAAGGTTACAGACATATTTCAATTAAAATCCTTTTAATCCAGTTTATTCTACGAAAACTAGGTCTATGCAGGTGTAATAATAATAGTACTCACAAGCTTATGTACTGAGAAAGTAGACTCGATATATTTCGCTCTACACTCCAAGAAACTCTAGCCGCGTTCCAATGTTAAAAAGAAACCAATGTTTAGCTGTATAGACTAAGTATCCTTTTCTTCACCAAATGGGAGTATTTTCCAAAAAATAGACATGGGCGTTTTTGGTTTTGAACGCAAACGGATATTTATCGGATTTCAGATTTCAAAATCGATTTTAAAATCCGTTTTTAAATATCCGATTTCAGATGTGCTGAACTTAGCCAATTCACTAGTTTGTGTTATGATTTGGTTTTATTAGCTAACGACAATCACAAACAATTAATTGTAGGAAGCAAGGATACTCGTAGATATTCGCGATTTTCCTTCATGCTTTAAATCTAGGCTTAGGACTAGCAGAAAAGTTATAATTACGGTTAAGAGTAAAACTTTTGCGGCGCATTTAAAAATCGGCTTTTATACAATGATTTCTTTTTACATATTTTTTAGTATTTTTATTTGTTATTCTGTTTGTTTTTATTATTTTTCAAACCATTTACAAAATCAAACCTAATTACTTCAGGTTAGCGTCCAAAAATGTAAGTTGCTCGACTTTTGATGTTTTTAGACGACATATCTTTTCAGTGATAAATAATCCCGCCTCAGAGAACAGCAATAGATTTCCGTAAACAGCAAATCGAAATCGGAGTTCCGAGCACGAAATCTTACTTCCGAAAACGAAAGCACGAATTTCGAATCCGATTTAGATTTGGATACTTGTGGTATTTGGTTTTGGTACGGTTAGATTTCTGAAATCGGATTTTCTTGTTGAGAAATCGTTCGGTATCGATTTGTGTTTGAAATCGGATTTTGGATTCGTTTTGATATATCGGACGCATGCCTACCAAAAAATCATACGTCAACATTAAAATATGGCTGTATTTTTCCCTTTGCCTTCCCTAAAAAGCGAGAATATTAAAAAAAGCAATGGTGTTTGCGATTTATTTATTTTGAACTTATTCCGCAAGTCACTAATGTGAAAAAGAAAATGTCTAAAATATTTACACCTGTTAATCAAATCCGATTGACAAATGTCGCCATAGTGAGGTTGAAGAAAGGAGGAAAAAGATTCGAAATAGCCTGCTACAGAAATAAAGTGGTCTCATGGAGGAACAAATTGTAAGTTGCTTGCATTCAGGAAAAAAATGTGATATTATTACAGATTACAAAAGCACTTCACCATTAATAAGTATTATTTCGATCGGCGCGTTATTTGTTATATTCTCCAGAAAGAAACATTAGGAAACTAATCACATTTATCAAAATTAATACCGAGCAAGAGTAGAGTCAACAGGCCCTTATTCCTATGAAAGAACGCAGACGCGCATATCGTAAAACACATTATAAAAAAAGTTTATTATTTAAATACGAGTAATAGATAAGAATAACTGTAAATTCATATTTGAAATATTATATTGCGTGGAAAGCTAAAAATATTGAATATATGTTATCTGTTGCTACGTCGCATTAAGCATCATCTTATATGATATTGGCCACCATGTATGCTTTACTAATTAAACTAGTAATAGACACTGATTTGGTAGAAAGCTGACCACCACCAAATCTGAACACATTGATAAATGGTAAAATTATTTTTACTGCACTAGTGGGCCAACCACTTCAGAATATACTCTTACATCTGCCAAATCAGTGTGTGTGCAAAATAGTAGAAGAAGAACAGTATAAATTAAAATGAGCTGTATTTTTTTTTTCAGAGAAAATGATATTGACGAAGTGTTGCAAACACATACAGTTTTTACTAATGTTTCTAAGGGTCAAGTTGCAAAAAAGGAAGAGTTGGTAAAAATATTTGGGAAAGATGATCAAACAGAAATATGTAAGGAAATTTTGGAGAAAGGGGAATTACAAGTTTCTGACAAAGAGAGGCATTCACAAATAGAATCTTTATTTAAGGATATAGCAACAACAGTAGCTGATAAATGTGTTAATCCTGAAACAAAAAGGCCTTATCCTGTTTCTATAATTGAGAAAGCTATGAAGGACATTCACTTTTCTGTGAATGTTAATAGAAATGCTAAACAACAAGCCCTTGATGTTATACAACTATTAAAAAAGGAAATTCCATTGGAAAGAGCTCAAATGAGAGTTAGGATAATTATATCTGGAAAAGATGCACGTAAAACGAAAGAAAAGGTGGTTAAACTTGCTATGAGTGTAGAAGAAGAAAATTGGGATTCCGGCACAGCTAGTATAATATGTTTGATTGATCCTGGTAACTTCAGGAACATGGATGAAATTATAAGAACAGAAACAAAAGGCAGTGGTCAGTTTGAACTGCTAAACTTAAAGGAGATGGTGGAGGGTGACCAAGCTTTGTAAAAAAGTGTTCTGTTCTGATTATATATTTAAAATGTTCCATGCTGTAATTATTTATAACCTTTCATTTAGTGATAGATAAGTATCATTGTTCTATTTGTGGCTATTTAGCCACTAGATTTTGTCAAATACTTTCATAATGAAAAGTTTGATAATTTTGTTAAATACTTATCACCTGAAAAGGTTATTAATGTCTTATGAGGAATAATTACATGTTTTGGATCTGAATCATATTTCCTTAGAGGATACAAGTTTAGTTGAATTGGTTTATATAATCTATGTGAATGAATGATTGACGATTTTAAACTAGATTTCTCAATGCATCCCTATTGGCATGCTGATAAATAGTTAAAAGTAAGACATTGGTTAAGGTAGTTTTACAGTTCTCAGTCCTGATAAGGTTCTGTTAATATAGTAAGCATGGACTTTCTACATAGACAAGGTTGATAAGTACTCAAAACAACATCTGAGAAAATTGATCTTGTCTTCTATAAATAAGGAATTTGAAAACAGTCTTATTTTATTTATCAGTATTAATGGACCCCATTAAATATGGTTATTTATCATTCTTTTTTGTATTTCAGTGAAAAACTAATTCAAGAATACTGCTGCTGTTTCTCCGGACTCTAAGGAAAAAGAAAAAGTTGCGCTGCACCTCGATAATTATAATCACAGAACAATATTACTATTATAATCTTTAAAATCACGTTTGCGTTTATAGTCTGTTATATTCATAATCATAGATAAATGATTGGTCTCGCTTCTTCTTAATAAATATTATTAATAGTCATTTTTTTTTATAATTTATTCATGACCATGGATACAAGTCCTTCAGTCGTATACATAAATACAAATCTTAATCTTCTTTTTTTGCATTAGAATGTCGGTGTGACGCATTTTATTGTTTCTTGGAGTGTTTGGCACGAAATGTATCAAGTTGGTTTTTTCGATAAGCTTCTGTGTGGTAGTTAACACTACAATAAAGTTCTCACGTCCTCTTAACCGGAATAGCGTATATTTTAAAGATTTCACTAATTCTTCAGTTGCGCAGATGATTGTAACACAGAATCACACCCATTTTATTTCACAATATCCACTATGAATGAATTTAAGAATAATTAAAATAAGACGCCAACCGCACTCGATGAAATCCCGCCAAAACTCCACAATAATAGTCTTTAGGTGTGAGCGTTCTAAAGACGAACCGGTTTCAAGGACCGTTTTGTGTTCCGCGACGATAGAACCGTTTTACGTTTCGGATCAAAACAGTCTTCGTCGAACAACTAGTCCTCAGATTGTCTGCACGCCAATATGTGCTTTATGATGAAGTAAATGCAGTCTATAATAGAACGCAACAATATGAGGCCGTTTCGTTCTATGATAATTAAGCTTTGATATTACAATAATATAATCTTTATTTTTGAATGTTTAAAGTCGATTATCGTATAACACTACATTTATTTCAATTTTTCGTTGTCTCGTTCGCAGCAACGAAACGAACGTTAACAAGATTTCATTTAGTTCAGTTTCGTTGCGTTACATTCGTTCGACCGTCGCGTGTCGATTCGTTGCGTGGCCCAGCCACAACTAAAACCAATTGCGAACGAGAACCGTTTCGAGGACTAGTTTTCGTTTAAGAGAAAACGGTTGCGTTTCGTCGTCACAAAATTTGAGAACGACCCACCGCTAATAGTTTTTTTTTTTCTATTTTGGTTTTACGGCACTGGGATCTATAGGGTACGGGTACGGCCAGAGTGCATTCAGATTCAGACTCAGAAAACAAGCGCGAGAAATAAACAGTGTAGTTAAAGCAGGGTCGCCATAGTGGCGGCAGGCAACCTGCTCAAACTACACTGCATATTTCTCGCGCTTGTTTTCTGCGTCTGAATCTGAATCTGAGTGCACTCTGGCCGTACCCATAGGGTACGGCATTCAGCAGGGTGGTGTCATAGTGGCAGCAGGCAACCTGCTACTACACTGTTTATTTCTCACGCTTGTTTTCGGAATCTGAATCTGAGTGCACTCTGGCCGTACCCGTACCCTACGGCCAGACTGCACTCAGATTCAGACAGTTGCCTGCTTTTTCTCGCGCTTGTTTTCTGAGTCTGAATCTGAATCAGGAGTGCACTCTGGCCGTACCCTTCGACTACACTGTTTATTTCTCGCGCTTGTTTTCGGAATCTGAATCTGAGTGCACTCTGGCAGTGGGTCAATTATGCTTCAGTAATAAAATTCTAATGTGATGTCAATATGATGTTGATGCCAAGTTGACATTGTTTTTATATGGTATTATGAAACATTCCTATGTCACATCAAGATCATATCAATATCATATCCTGTATCACATTTTTGACGTTTATGCGATACTATTTTAAGTCAAAAAGTTGAACGTAATACGCATTTAAGTTGATATCATTTTATAGAGTTGATCATCATCATAGCATAAGTTGATGTCATTTTGATATCGCATTTTTCGGAGAGCATAATACGTAATGTGAAATAGACATCAAAACAATATCACAATTAGCGAGCATAATTGGCCTGCAGTACCCGTACCCATAGTCATGGTCTGCAGTGTTGCCAACTACTAGCATTGCCCAGTTGCTAGACATCTTACAAAATGTTGCTAGATTGTCAATTTTATTACCCCAAAAATTTGCTAGAAGTAGTAGGTAAAAAAATATACTATATTACAAGAAGGGATATCAACAATGACATTGACGCATAAAAATGAGTTTGAGACCTTCATTTTAAAAAGAAAAACTTGTAAAATAAAATTATCATACAATTTTTTCCCGTCGAAAAAGTCTGCTTCCAACAAACGAGAGAATTCACGTACCTGTTTGCTTTCTGTGTAAGTTTTTTGTCCTAGTATGTTTCTTTATGTCAAATAGTTTAAGAAGAATTTCCGTAGAACAATAAATACAAAACGCTTTGCTTGAATCTCCACTTGCTGTTTTTAACCAACCTGTCGGTATTTCTGTGCGTATGATTTTTTTTCTTAAGGGTAATCCATTTTTACTTTAAAAACAGCGAGCATTAGTTTTTTATGGATAAAAAAATACTGGATAGAATACGAGTGGAGCGTACTACTTTGGTTTAGTAAATAAGTACCCACGTTCTGTCATAGTGCATTCTGTCATAGCGTAACATCATGTAACATGAAATGGGGAATTCTCGGCTAAGTTCCGACCTACAGTTTGTCTATAAAGTCGTGACATTAAATGATGGCGCCACTAGTATGCATGTAGCAACCCTGTACAGTCGGACCAAAATGATTTTAATACTAGCAGTTCATTCAAGTAAAATAGGTAATTAATAAGACACACTATACAGTCGTATTTTGTTTCTGTTTTATATATAGTAGGTACCTATGCTTATAAAAAGTTTAGGCAAGCATATTTAATTGAATCAGAATAAAATTATTATAGATAAAATAGTACTTTATAATGTAAAAGTGTGTAATGTTGGTGATTACCGCTGAGGTGCCATTGAGACCGGAGCCGTTAGGTAATCATCAATACACAGAAGTATCATCATACGACGTTTTTTAACACACTTGTTAAGAAAATAATACTAAAAATCATTTTATAGTATATAAAAAGTTTATTTAGAGAAACAATTTGTAAATGTGCAGTTAGTAAAATTAGTGATAGGTATCTTCACTAAAAGCATCTGGTCATGGTTCTTTATGTGACCATTTCTTTCTTTGGTCGGCCTTGCCTGTTTTCCCAGGAGTTTCAAACTTTCCATCATTCTTAAAACCTTCGTTGACTATTCGATTCTATGATTTTCCTGAAAAAAGGTAAAAAAATATGTAACGGAATAGAAACAATAACTTATTGACATGAAGCAATTAATTCAAAATTGGTAGAAAACCTGACCGAGTTCAACCATAATAACGTATCAAAAGAAATGGTCGTAATACAATATTACCTATTTACAATGCAATCTAACCTAAAAATGTGCAATGTAAACAATGCCTTTTTTGGTCTCAAAATCGTTAATTGAGTAAATTTGTAACTTCATGCAGATTACAAACAAATAGTTACACGATTACATACCCGTCATAGATGCTGTTCGCCCATAAACATCGTCCAAATCCCACAAAATTCGTCCAGCTTGGTAGTCTTCGAAACATCGCTGGAAAACTTTAAAAATCACTTCCCGCGTGCCACCAGTGTTGCCAACTCGGATTTTGAAAAAGGCGTAGGCCCGATGAGAAAATTACATAGAATTGGTAAATTTTGCATATGAAAAGTAAGTAGATCTACGTACTTTTTTCTGAGTGAAATGAAGAAGTTATTTGAAACCGAATAAAACGAGTATTTAGTTATACAATTTGTTTAAGAACGGGAGATAGAACGAAGAGTTCTTGGGAAGTCGCTGCATTGGAAATTTGGAAGCATTTACCATGCTGTGGTAAACATTTACCATCAGACACAGACACTGGTGGGTGCCGATTCTGGATGGTTCTCTAAATTTAAAACTTAATTTAACATCAGTCTCTCCTTTTCATTCTGTATAGAGAATGACAAGGATAAACTGTTGTTAAATGGGCTAGTTGACACTTTTTGGAATTATATTTTAAATTGTTAATAATTATTCTATCAGAACGAAAAAAAATTTTTTTTTTACCTAGAAGACATACAAAAACGCTTTTTAGTCTATAGACTTATCTATGCTATGGCGCCAAAATATTTGTAAACAAACACTCGCAAGCACGTAGGAAATAAACTTTCTAAGTTAATATTATAAAACCATGATTTCTAATAGATCACATGAAAAATATAGTAGTTATCATGATACACTTGGTAAAAGACTCTAGAAAAGTTATGGTTTAAATTGCCAAGAGAAAAAACATACTTACACATGAACATATGCTTAAAACTTGCTAAATCCTGTAACTTTATCGACTGAAAGTCTTTTCTTTTTGCAAAGATCAATTCGATGTGAGTAGGTACTCATTGATAATAGTAAAAGTTTAAAAATACAATTTTTAAGGTTATGAGTACCTACTAAGTCAAAGAGTTTTGTCGTTTCTGCTTTCACAAATCCTGCATCCAGCATTAATTTAGTCAACAAAACCAATAACGGGAACCTTTTCTACAAGATGCAAGAGTGTTTAGATACATCTTCTTAAATATTCAATATAAAATATTCTTCTTTATTCGAGTGAATTAAGTTATTTTACAAATTTGAAAAAAAATAAGAAAATACGTAGATTCTGGGTCTTAAGTTAGTAGGTTTCCAGAAAAGGCCTAAAATCGTAGATCTACGTAAAAAGACGTAGAGTTGGCAACACTGCGTGCCACTTCGATTTACTTTACTCATTTTTATACCTTTCTGCGTAGTTTCGTCTTAATTTATTACAGTTTAATCCAAACAATAAAAAATACAAAAGGAAAACTGTTCCACAGCTGAAACTCGATGACAGCTGATGTACATAAGTACGGTGTTGCCAGACACATGAATAATGTTAGTTCCTCAAACATTAATGTCACGACTTTATAGACAAACTGTACGACCAATACTCTAATATTTACAATAACAGTAATATTTAATCTATATAGAGTCGCTTCAGTTTTTAGTTTTTCGTTAAAGATTTGGTACCCTACTCTATGAATCTCTCATGAAATGAAAAGTTGCTAGAAAAAATAGCTAAATAGTTTTGCTACTTTATTAAAATTGTAGCTGTGTGATACCACTAAATCTAGCTACAAAGTTGCTAAGTTGGCATCACTGATGGTCTGTTAATAAACAGTGTTACTAGAAAGCCATTTCGCTTTCCCCCTAAAATACAGGTTTTTGAAGAAAAAACCCCAAACATGCAAAATATTTATTAAAAATACTAATTTTACTACATACTACGTATTCTTGCAACAGCATCCATTACTGGATTAACATCTTCGCTCGCGTCGTCTTTCCCACTCCTTAGTTAATCTTCTTACATAACTTTGTTTTAATAATGCCATTATTTTACCAAGGTGCAAACAATTGAAACAACATATTACCAAATTGCGACATAAAAGAGAAAACTACTTAGAAAGATGATTTTGTCGATTCGATTTGCAGTTCAACAAATCTATAACATCGCTTTAAACCCCCCCCCCCAAATTTTGGGGGGGAACCCTCCCAATTTGGCATCAGTGTCAATAAAAGAATGTTTGAGGAACTAATGGTTTTGCTGTTACTGGCAACACTAAATTACTGTCAAATAGTGTAGCTCACGTTAGATTTATGAATGCAAATAAATATTAAGGTTTGTAGTGTACTAACTTATGCCTTCGACTTCGTCAGCGTTATGGTGAGTGTATTTGAAATCCCATAAGAACCTATCATTGTTTCGGGATTAACAAACATTGAATAAATATTTATAATTATTCAATAGTATTTTTAACAAATATCGTTTAGTAATCAAGTTAGAGGTTATTTCCTTTTCCAACTTTAAATCTTACCTCTCTCTTGTCTCTCTCTTTGGATATATGTATTGCATCTATTATTCATTATTTATTTTACCATATCTGTTATACCCCTCTTCTTGTTCCTCTTTTTATTTATTTCACTGTCATGGGTTGCCTGGAAGAGATTGCTGTTTAGCAATAAGGCCGCCGGTTGTGTACGTTTTTAATGTCTTGTATATCCTGTGAGGTGTATGTCTATAAAGAATATTATTAACTATCAAAACATTTTAGTCAATGTATTACGGGGATAGCATCTAAGCGACAGCAGCGACCCCCTTTTTTTCATGACTTTATTGACAGACTGTACATCGAAATTAGTTCATAAGGAAAAATGTATAGCGTCGTCTAGTAGTACATTATCGAAGTTATTTTCTTCATACTCATTTTGACGTACATGCAAACGCGCTAGTAAAGTTAAATCGTGGCGTACCTCATACTTGGCCCTTTTGGTATTATGTGATGTCACACGGACGGGTTACATAAACAAAAATATTTTTTAAAGAAACGGCACAAAAAATGACACTTTGACCGGAAGTTGGAAGTTTGTTCATTTTCTTTTTTGTGTTTTCAACCGACGCGTCAGAGAGGTATCGGTTTCACTCATTTAGTACGGTTAAAATTATATTTGTGTGCCGTAATATGTCAGTACCGTCACTGTAACGTATGATATCGATTGCTTTCTGACGTGTCATGACACAACACGACAGTAAGGTATATTTCTGCCTTTAGTCTTTTTAGAAAGGGATAAAAGATCTCTGTTTACTGTTTCTCACGCGGCCCGTTTTATCAGCATGTAAGTCCATGATAGTATGTCCATGGCTTAAACTAAGTTTCTAATAATCTCTTTCCTTTACGCTTTATCCTTCATTCACTTTCATTTCTATTTATTTTCACATTGGCTGTTACCAACCCAATACTGTTATGGTATTTTGCCACTGTTGATAGTATTAAAATGTGCTGTTTTTAAAAACCGGTATTTAATCGCAACGTGTAACGGAACGTGGAAGTGAATGTACTCATCAAAATGACAAATTAAAAAAAGTTTTATTTTTTCTTATATTGGTACTAGATTTTATTGATTGTTTTCTTTCATAAAAGATTTTTGGCCAGACGGCGACTGAAATTGCAAGTTACTGTGATATATTTATTTTCATTAATTAACTATTATTATCAACCAATTAAATGAGCAGGGATATCAAGTTATGTCTATAAGTAATGGAAGGTACAGAACTGGGTGGCGACCAGCAATTCTGTTTGAGATGGAACAATTTTCAAGCAAATATAACTTCTCAATTCGAGGCACTGCGCGATGATGAGGACTTCGTGGACGTCACTCTGGCTTGCGAAGGTCACAGGCTGGAGGCTCACAAAGTGGTTCTTTCTGCATGTAGTCCTTATTTTAAGGAATTATTCAAAGTAAGTGTATCTTTCACTCCCCACACTTTGATGTGTCACCATTACAATGACTCTAGTGAAAGTTGTTATGTATAAAACACTTGATCTACTTACAAATGCCATGTCTCGCGTTCCGGTTAAGTACTCGTGATTTCATTTATTTGTACCTAATTTAAAATTCTGTTTTACAATTTCTAATTGACTTATTAGCATTTCCACTATAGATTACATGTATGTGTTTCAAGAGATATTGAATTCCTCTTAATGTGACCATTAAATGTCTATACAATAAGCATTATTGCAAGGTGGTTCATTAATGGTTTTGTATTTTTTATAACCAATTAAATGTTTATCTAAGATATTTTTTTTAAATACAATTAATTTGATGATCGGCATGAAAAGATTATTTAGTAACGTTTCACTTGCACTAATTAGCATTATTTGTACATATTTTTATTCATTTAAAAATATGTACAAAAAATGCAAACTGCTTCTTCTTTTAGTCAAGTATGGAATTTAGGTCTTATCATATTTAGCTCACTATCATGAGACTTATTTTCTCGTTATGTTTTGTATAATCTGTCATGAACAAAATTTTCTCTAAATATATATATTTCAAATATCAATAAAAATATTTCAAAGTAATATAATGAAATCATGTAAAAAATGAGTTTTTATTACAGAATATCACTATAGTGTACTTAAATATTAAGTTTATTGCTTAATTTCTAGTTTTCTTATTATTGCTGTCAGTTACAATTTATGAATATAATAATTATGGCAAGCCTAATCATAAATAGTTTTGAAATCGTAGTCAATCATTTTATTAGTTTAAAACATAATATTAGTCTGTAATCTACTTTTTTTTAAACAAACTGAGCATTAACTGCAATAATATTCTCTTCATAAAACCAACTGATTGCACAAAAGATTTAACATATTCACTCATAATAATAATTAAAATGAAATTTTAATTTATTATGGAATTTGATCATCTGCCTTGCTAAAAGGAGTTATTTATTTGTACACCTAAAAGGTGGGTTTAAATCTAATTAATGTTTTGGTAAATCTTCAACAAATTTCATTTAAAACTGAAGCGAATCTTCCATCATGCAACCCCCAAACATTTGTTTTTAGCCTTCGAAATTGAGGCGAATTTTATTAAATAATGGTATACTGAAGTTTTATCAAAAATTCGAACAAAATATAGGGAATTTCTGTTCCCATTGTGTCTATCTTTTTTCCTATTATTTTAATAGTCTTCATGGCTAAGGTTGTATAGAAAGAAGATGGATTTATTTTAATTTTTGTAAAAATAATTCAATGTTCAAAAATATTTCAAATCAGGCACTATCCGGCATTTATTTCACTCCTGTTTGCACCATAGTGAACACATCCATAGAACTTTGCAAGTGGCGCAATCGAATTGATTGATTAACTCATTAATTTTAAATACATTGGTATTCCCAGGTATTCCAAATAGATTTTCAGTATTATGGCCACTCTCAGAGAAGTCAATTAGCTTAAAATGTAGTTAAATTTGATAATGAATTAGTTATCGAATAAGACAACTTGATGCTTTGAAAAGCATAAGAATTAATTGGTGTGTCTGAGTGAGGCCACAAACAAGTTATTTAGAATATAAATATATATTTATGGTATTTTGATCTGCAATTAGCCAACTCACTATGACTATGCAATTAATATTCCATTAATCACTTGTTCCATTGACAATATTCAGTATAATTTAAATTACAAATCAATGTGATTGGAAGTTAATTAAATTTGTTGATACATTAGTTCTAGGTTATTTTACTTGTCCCTTGTCATTTCATAGATATGATATTAAATATATCTTAATTATTGAATCCAAGAATATATTACATATTTAAAAAACAAATTACTGTTATTTTAGCAATACTTAACTCTCAATTCAAGAAAAGAATTCTAAGAAGAAAAATTCTAAAAGAATTCTCAAAGTTTGCTGCTATAAGGAATTTTTGTCATATGAGCAAGTGAAATAGTAAAAGTAAATTTTAAAATATATTAATTACAATAATATTACCCAACTATCCACTTTGAGCCTACATGGTGGGTCTATGATTTGAAATCCCTGTGTGATTCGGTCCATAGAAAAGTGCTGCCACCTGCCCCCAGCAGTTAAGATGTTTTGAAGTCTGATGATAATGATGTTGACAATATTGTGTATGGGAATAAAACTAAACTTAATTTTTGTTCCTTGCCGTAAAAGACGACCTCCATGGCCGAGTGGTTTGTACGCCGGGTTTCATGGTGTCGCCGACTCGAGAGGTCCCGGGTTCAAATCCCGGTGGGGGCAGATGTTTGTGTGATGAATACAAGCATTTGTACTCCAGTTATGGATGTTTAATATGTATTTTCTATATAAATATACTTATAAATGTACAGTATATGTATTCTATCCGTTACCCTAGTAGTATCCCATAACACAAGCCTACAGAGCTTACTTTGGGGCTAGGCTAATTGGTGTGAGTGTTGGAAATATTTATTTAAAAGAGATGGTTCCTTGCTATAAAAGAGTAGGCTTAACCCAGACCTGGTATAGATTACTTTATTTTATAGAGAAAAAATACAAATAACAAAATTCTCAATTATCACTGTATTTTCAGGCTAACATGTTTGGAAGGCCTTCCTTTTAAATACACATTGATCAATCAAATATTTTTAGAAATATTATTATTAAAATACAATTTTTCACAATAACACTGATTTAAATTCTTGTGTATTACTTTACCAACAGCTCGAAAAACACTAATTTAAATGTATAAATGCAAAAGTGTGCATGTTTATCTGTCTTTTACCTCTTCACACTTAAACTGTTGAACAGATTTAGATGAAATTTGGTATAGTGATCGTTTTGAGCCCTCGGTAAGGAAATAAAATTGTTTTTATTCAAGCAATCATCCTTCTAGGGTTTGAAAGGGTTAATTTTTGTACGGGAAACCAATTTTTCCGCACAGACAAAGTTGTTGACACCTGCTGCTAGTAGTGATATTAATCTCAGACCTACCAAAAAAATACACAAAAAAATTCATAAACATTTTATGATGATGATGACCCTGGGCCTATGTGTTCTGTGTTAATAGCCATTCTCATCTCGTTATATGTCCACATGGAAGTTTTGTGCCTTACCGATAGCTACAATACTAGCGACCGACGCTATTGGTGGTAAGATATAATATCGCCCTGTCTATGTATTAGCCAATTATCGTAAATCACAACAGTGTATTTGTATATTTTTGTAGATGGTTGCTACTAGATTAAAACAAAAAGCGAAGATACTCGCGGACGGTACTCGCGGCTCAAAAGTGATGCGCTGAAATTGAGTTGCATGACCACAATTCGCTTTAGTCAATATAACAATATTGCGTATATTCGGTGTTATAAAGATAATACAATGCCTTCGATGTTTCTATAAAGAACACAAATAGTTCAAAATCAAATGCCTCGGCAACACTTTTCATTCGTAAAACTGTAAAATCATTTATTTCTCTAAAATCACGGTTCGCCGTGACTGTTACTTACATAATCGCTAGTATGAGCGTACCGTATCTTCCCTTTTTCTTTTAATCTAAGTTGCTACCATGTACATTGTCTTTTGCGAGTCCTATGTATTTCGGCACTGTAGCAAGCGCCATGATCGCTCACGGAGTTACTGAAGTAATTGCGGGTAGGATGTTATTTGTAGTCATATCGGTCTACTTTCCGACGAAGTCTTGTTGTGCTCGATACCAACATCGAAACCATGGTACATACTTGGTAGCAATGCTGCTAATAACAAAAAATACTATAATGTTAGTGACCATGAAAGTTTAATACAATAGTTCGGTTGTTGTTCACAGAACAATCCATGTCCTCACCCTATAATATTCATGCGCGACTGCGAGGTGTCGCATGTGCGCGCTCTCCTGCAGTTCATGTACGTGGGACAAGTGAACATTGCTCAGGCGCAACTCAGCGCCTTCCTGCGCACCGCCGACGCACTTCAGATCCGTGGCCTGACAGACTGTTCGCAACACAACGATAAAGTAAGATTTTTTCTTATTAAAGTCGCTCGCATGAGAAGTAGGGCTGCCTGGGGAAGTAACTTTACCTTCAAGAGGAACACTGTACAATAACAATATTTTCGGTTTTGTTGTGCTTCTGTTGTGAGTAAAATTCCAGGATACCATGGGGTTAGGGGATTTAGTTCAGCGACACACCGCCTTAAGAGCTATCTTCGCGACTGGACTCCACTTATACTTAACATCAGGAGGGACTTATTTTTGGAGTCATGTATAACAAAAAAAGTGGTCTTTAGAATAAGTAAGTAAATATTGAATGAGGATTGCTCTGTATCGCAGACATAGATCGAAATAAATACATTATCTTTTTCGACGACTTTATTATACATGGCTCAATAATTAGTAATTAGTTAATAAAAGTGTAAGTGGAGTCCAGTAGCGAAGTTAGATCTTGAAGCATTATGTGTATGTACTACCGAACAAATTGTTTCCTGACTCATTTGCTCGATAATTTGCTTTAAAAATGTCAAAAAAGATAAGTTTTCTTTTAAAGAGATTTGCGTTATTGCATAGGACCTTCTAATAACAAGGAAACTGTATTAACATGGTTCAAAGATCTTTGAAATTTGACCTTTGTATTATTAGTGTTACGGTAGTAATCTTATGGAATAGATCATCTTACGGATGTTGTAAGATGAATTATTATTGATAAATCGATTTTTGCCAAAAATCCTAAGGATTTTGCGAAAACGCGGATAATTTAATAATAAAATGACATTTCTCAATATCAATGAAAAAAGATAGGATTATTGCGAAAACGCGTGTCGGCTTCAGGCTTCAGAAAATAACAAGTTTGTTTCCAGGGACACGTATCCCTGGAAACAAACTTATGTAAGTACATATATGAGATATTGTTTTGCAATGCTTTCAAGAAAATAAGCTTATAGTGGGTCAAAATTCAAATTGGTTGATAGTACTTCGCGTGCCAAAAAAGGGAGACCAATGGTGTTCATTTTACGCTGTTTATTTCTTCGCGTCACCGTTCTCGATAGTGGACGTCAATCGCAATGTTTTAAAAACATCTAACTATGACATATTAAGCTGTAAAAAACGATATAATTGAATAAAGACCGGGGCACATGCTTTGTCACCACTAGATTTGATCTCGTGATTACTCAAAATATTTCATTCTGGGTTTCTATACAAATTGAGGCTCACGCGGCGTCTACTTATATCTTGGTCTGGGTATCTTCTTGACAGGCTGGGCAAAATCTATTAATGAACAATCAATGTAATGTAGCGGATAGGCTTCCAACTGTCACTTTACGTTCCGACCAACAACACGGACGCATTCAATATCACATGACGTGGGGTAGCTTAAGGGCCTGCGTTACGTTAAGCGTTTCATGTTATTTCATAGGGCAGCGCTGCTCTATGAAATTGAACGCGGAGCGGACGTCCGCTCCGTGCTCCCGCATAACGCATCGCAGGCATTTTCCACGCAAAATTAGAAGTATAAAGAAAACGCAACGCAAGTTTGCAATTTGTAGGCAAGTTACAAGTCTCTTGTTTTTGGATGACAACATGACAGCGAATGCTAAATTGTGAATCAGAGGTAACTGTGGGAGTGATATATAAATGTGTATTTCATTGTCTCATGGAAAATACAATGGTTGGGTTTATTATGATATATATTTTGGTTGGATATTATTCCTTGTAACTTGGCGATAGTGTAGTAGAAATGAAATTAGAATTGATAATTTTCCTTTTCAAGTTAATAATGAAATAGATTATGGGACACGTATATTGACGGCGCTAGATAATTATTTATGGATCTAAACTCAATGTATTTGGCCATCATCGTGTTTAGGCGCGCCTCCTATCTTTCTTTTTTTTATTTAAAAATTCGTTCGACAAGCATGTGGTCCGCCTGATATTTGGGGACCACCATAGTCTATAAATGCTTGCACTATAAAAATAATGGCCAGGCATAGTTTCAGGGTAGGCAACGGTCTATCTTGCCCCCCTCCACTACCCCATAGAGCCCTGGAACTTTCCTTACTAACATAAACATAACACCGCCAAAAATCACAACTACGCAGCCGCCTAAATCTTGCCGAACTAAGATAGGAAGAATATAGGTATTGTGCACTAAGTTTGCAATTGAAATGATTTTGGGTTAGACATTATTTACAAAACAATTTAGATATTCGTCGACCCGACCAGAATAAAGGTGTAAATAAAGAATAGAGTGTGGAAAGGTAAAAATCAAATTTAACTCGTGATACCCAAATAGCTGTGTATAGTCAGTCTATCGTATTTTTGCGCGAATTGGTTGCAACTTTCACCGCGCAGCGGGAGCACGATTCGTGATTAAAGGAGAGATGACGTCACGCATTACTCACTCACCAATATAAAAATAATAAAATAAGTTTATGGCTTGAATAAAATTAGAATATCTTCAAAGATAATGAGACGTAAAAAAAATCTCTAGCTCAATTTTATAATGAGTAACGTAAACGTAATAGATCACTTGGCGACTTTTAGTAGTAATATCTTATGACCTACTTTGTAACAATCTTTCGGATTTATAAATCACATTTTTCCTTTTGCAGAAAGTAAACCGTAAATCTCCTCCTTCCCAACTACGTAATTTGCTAAGCGCCAAGCCGTCACATTCTACCTCTTCTTCCAAAGCCGCAAGCCAAAATGTTGAGTCGACTTCTGCTGAAGAACAAGATAAGATTGCAGGTCGCCAGTCAGCTAGAAATTCTCCCGAAGTTGCCAGAAATAATCTCAACGAAGAAGCTCCCTTTCAAACTTCTAGTCAAATGAGGCCTAATAATGATGACTATAGCGAAACTTGCAACTACCCTACCGTAAGGGTGAAAACTGATCTCGAAGCACTCGAAGTAAAAAATGAAGAGAGCGATATTCTAATGGACCCTGGGGACGCAGAAAGGGCGGACAAATGTCAAGATTTTAACGCGTCCGATCTTTTGGAACCTAAAATGGAAGTAATGGAACAGGAGGCTAGCGACGATGAACGTTCCAGTTTTCCTCCCATTTACTATGAAAACAACGCGCTAGCTAACCCTTTTGCTGCAATGCAGGGTATGTATTAACACTAAATCCTCTTTGTACTGGACTGTGAGTTCGATTAATAAAATTCCGTATTTTTTATTCAGGAAACGTGGATCTCATTAGTGGAATGAATGCCGACCTGCGGGACGGGGACAGCGGCGAAGGTAAATATGAAATGCTTTTTAATACATTCACTTCATTGTCACATGCACACGTCGACTCGGACAGCCGCGCCCCCGGCGAACCTTTATAGAAATATAATTTTCGGTCGTTTCCTTCAAGAGAGCGCGCGCAGTCGTATGTACATACATTATTTTATGGTGGCTAGGCGCGCGGGTGTCGTGGCGACGCCGCCCTCGGCCGCCGCTCGTACTCCCGCCCGACGGACGTTGAAACCACCCTCGGCAAACCGACCGATGACAGTCTCTCGAGCGATAAGACCAGTTTCAAATGCTAATGTATAGCTAATGAAAAAAAAGAACAGCAAAGACCGAAATGCGCCAAAACCGATAATGGAGCCCGCGTATTAGACACGTACAGTGCGTTCTGAACAGAATTTGACCAGCGTAATGTATCTCCGAATACCAGTAAATTGGATTTTTCGATGCTCCGGCATGGCCGTTGAATAAATTATAAGATCTGTCGCATTAGACACACAGACCTGAGAAAATCGGCATCAGTTAGACTTTCGATGAGGTATACGTGCCGTAGCATTTGAACCCGGTCACGCTCCGGGCAGAGGACGCGGTCGGGAAGACGGGTCGAGCGGTGCGGCGAGCATAGCGGGCAGTGCGAACGTGGTGTTGTTGGCAGCGGGAGCGGGCGGCACGAGCGGGGCGGGGGGCGCGGGCCCCGGCGTGCAGTGCGCGCTGTGCGGCCGCCGGTACAGCAACGCGTCCAACCTGCGCCAGCACGTGCGCCTCATCCACGAGGCCCAGCCCGTGGCGTGCGCCACCTGCGGCCGCAGCTTCAAGACCCCGCTGTACCTGCGCCGTCACACGCTGGCCCAGCATCCCCCGCGTGCTCTCAAGCCGCCGTTGCCCGCCCTCAAGCCGCCGGTGGCGATGCCCGCCCTGCGGCCCGCGCAGCGCTTCCGACAGTAGCCGGCCGACGCGACCGACGCCGACTCACGCGCTCTCTTACTCATGCTCGACGACGCGCGCCGGGAAGATGCCGCCGCCTGTGCGTGCCATACGCGACACACGTGCCATACGCGATCCCCTCATTGTTTATTCTACCGACCCGCTGCCTGCTTCCAAACCCACCGTTCGAAACGCACCCTTTATGAATAAGTAGCGAGACATTCGCCGCGGCATCTTCCGGTGGCGGCGTAGTGATGATGTGGCTTATAAAGTTGTAACGAAGACTGTCAAATAAATTTATTATCTAGTCTGTGATCGGAGTGTCGCCGGGGGCCCGTTTGCCGTCACACCTCTCCGCTTATTGCGTGCCTTTCAATAAATATACAGAGTACCAGACGTCCTGGTCTTCCTTTTAACGAGGTGCATTTTGTAGGTAGTACAGATAATAATAATTTAAATATTTTCTCATAGTTCACTGCTGGCGGCATCATAAAGCACGCCTATAGGGCTCAAAATTTGTTTTTAATGAATAACGAAAAATTTTATTAGTCCATGGGGAATTAATAATGCAAACGGAAAATCCATGTTTTAGTCATAGTACAGCGCGTCACATTTCTTAGTCATGCTCATAAATATTTTCGGTATATGACAAATTCGCCTCGTTGATGGGAATACGGGCTACCTTCCTTCATGACAATAGACTGATTGTTGTTAAGCATTTGTTGCGAACCGGTGCTGATTTTACATAACATAGGTTATTTACTGGTTACAAACATAGTATTGTACATACATACATTATACATACACGTTATCCACAAATGATCGTCACTTTTTCACGCATTCCTAGTCCTAAATGATAAACTGTATTTTCATAGTAGAATATAATTTATTTTGTATGTTTATAATGCGTTAGAGAGCGGCGATCATAACCGTTTTATTTGTCGATCCGCGAAGTAATGCATCCAAGTAATGGAGACATCATTCGTGTTGCAACTACAATAGGATATTTTTATACAGAATACTTTTTATCTTTACACAATGTTATATTGTTGAGTGATTGGACGGCTCCCGGTTAGTTTGTACAAAATCCAAATGTAATGATTCATTATCGAATATTTTCGAATTCATAAATATTAATCTTATTTATGAAACAATATCGAGCCATTTTAGATATCGGTTTTGTTTCACGCCAACATTCTCTTTGGAATGTCTACTGTTAGGTTGTTTACTCTTATTTTTTTTATTCCTTATTATTAGTACCTACTTAACTTTCGATGATTAGGTATTTCTTTAAGATTTACATATAAAATTGCCACAAAAAGGATCTAGTCAATATGACAAAAAACTATTAAGGGCACGTTATTAAAACTATGATTAGGGTTGTGAATAACAATATTAGTTTATCGTTTGAAAATTTAATTGAATAATAATAACTGTCTGAAAATTGTGTGATCTCAAAACTGTGTTTCCGTGATCTCTAAAAAAACTTTACCTACGCATTTATTTCGATCTGTGTTAGTCTTAAATAAAATTACGGTTGGAAGTTAATTGCAATAATAAATTAATCTTAAAGTAATCGCTTATACGTATTAGTAATGTAATAATAAAACACTTTTGGAAGTTACTTAAAATAATTTTAGTCCCATTGATAACTTAAGGCGCAGCTTTCTTAATATATAAAAGAAAAATGTAATTTGTATAGACAAAGTAATATCTTGACACTTTCTAAATTTATGGAATAATGAAATTATAATAGAAATTCTATCATAGCGATAATATGTACCAAAACCAACATACATAAGGCTATGTTGTTTTAACAAATATAAAAGCAATTATAAGCAGAATGTTTTTATTCCTATATGAACATTATGATTTATATATTTTAATAATTTATTATTGTTGAGTTCAGATGTGCCTAATTTTAAGTAACAACTATAATTTTATGAAATTTATATTATATCTTCATTGCTAATTTCTATTCCTATTCTGAAAGTAATCAAAAATGTTTTACGAAGTTATTTATTTAATTTTTATTTCAAGTGCCCATCGTGTTACGATAACAATATTTAAGAATTTATATGCATTGATTTGCACGGAATTAAAAATGTATGTACATAAATCATTGTAATTTTTTTACTAAATACAAAAATAAAGTATTATAAAAATACTTGATTTTTTGTTATTATTTTTTGTTATCTTCATCTTAACGACTTGAATATATTGAGCGTACTAACCTAAGGTATAGTAATCTGTTGTTAGATTGCAAAAAAGTAACTTAATTTCTTATACCTACATCATTTCAAATTTAATGAATAACGATGTCCGTGTTATTGTTGGTGATTAACGATAAGTATAACTGAAGTCAACTTGTCTTGCACAGTTCAAATAAAAAATCACCCAGAACTTCATTAAATTCAAGTATGCATGTTTTGCTATAAATATTTTTAGTTTTCCAACTTAAAACATTGTTGACTATTAGGTACAATTAATGTTGAGTTTTAATTATTTCATCTTTTAAGTTTTTTTTGTTTAATTTGGAAGGTTTACTAAATCTTCCAAGATGAATTTCTCAGATTAGTTGTACATGCAGATGTGCCCCTTGGCACTTGGCGCCGCGCGGCTCCATTCAAAACTACCTGCGCCCGAACACGCGATGGATACAGTATTATGAATAGAGTAAACCGCGCGGGCGTCCGTTTAATGCAGTTTCAGCCCTTGGGATTTATCGGACCATTGTAAGATTCATTTATCAGTGTATTCTTGTTATTATTACGTCTGCGTTAGAGTATGAAAGACAGACTGATTTACTTCGACTGGTACAATACCGACAACGATAATATTTTGAACACAATTGGATATGAAAGTACATATTAGTAAATGTGTGAAAAAAAATCGGACAGGAGAAGTAGGCGGGTAGGTTGCTTATGATTAATTAGGTAATATAATTTTTGTTATAGTAATTAGCGGGGTTGCTACCATGATGTACATCGTTTCTTGTGATTCGGTGATGATGGCACTTGCAACAGTGCCGAAATATCGGGGACTCAAAAATAAGATATAAATGGTAGCAACCCTGCTAATTTCTATAATGTTAGTGAGCATGAAAGTTTTAAATAATATAATCCTTTGTTCCTAGTCGCCCCGCGGGGATTGCTACTTTAGTTTTCTTGTTGCCATTTGCCTTCGGTAGCAATCCCCGCGGGAGCGAACTGAAATTAAGGCAACTGCGGGATTTGCCTAGGAATAAAGGATTATAATATTATGTCATTCCCACCTCAGTTTATTTTTTATTCCCATTTTCCTTCAATGGCAATCCCCACGGGGGCTGCTGGGAATAAACGATTATGATTGTTGTGATGTGGCAGGCCGGTGGGACGGGCGGCGTAACCGGCCGGTACCGGACGCGGTATGGCTCGAACAACACCGGCGCGCGTTGCCGTTCGTGCTCAAGCGAGAGAACGAGCGTGGAGCCGCAGCGCCCCGACTTGTGAGTACACCAATATATATCTTCTATATATATAAAAATGTTATGTTGGTTTGTGTACGCTTCAAAAACTCAAAAAGTTCTGCACCGATTGAGTTGAAATTTTAACATGATATAAAATCCACATCAAGGATTGTTTTTATCTATTTTTTGCATCAGTCACATATCTGCGACCGCGAGAAAACAGTTTTTTTAACGATCAGCTGTGTACCAGTGACCGCGCCATCTGCCAGAAGCAAGGAAAACACTCGGTGACAACCGCAATAGTAATGACGCAGTCACATGAGAAATAATTTCGTTCTCAATTACATTGTTTATTTACAAAAAAAATGCATCTGATTCTGATTATTATACAATCTGAATTAAATATTCACTTAAATCAAGAAGTTAGTTGGTATAGAGACATTACTTCGTACCAAATTTCGAGATTCTAAGTTCACGGGAAGTACCTACCCTGTAGGATTTAATTCCCGTGCCAGTTTCGAAAATTTGCGGCATAAACGGCTGTATCTTTGAATTGCTTTGGCTTAGAAGTTTGATTTTTTCACAGCTCCAAGGGACAGTAGACCGGAATATTAGATATGAATTTCAGTTTGATACCTCCACGCGTTCCTGAGAAAAACAGTCTTGACAGACGGACGGACGGACAACAAAGTGATCCTTTAAGGGTTCCGTTTTTTCCTTTTGAGGTACGGAACCCTAAAAACGCTAGGTTAGTCTATGATAGACATTGAATTCGGAAGAAGTTGGCTGAGACTATGCTATTTTCAACTACATCAGCTATCTATTTAACTTCTTGCGCATCCGTAAATACCTTTTATCTGTTAGGTAGGGCAGTTTTTGGAATAGTTGTAGACCCGACCATAGCGAAATGGTGTGTCTTGTGAGGTGCGTCCATGTCTGAGAGAGATTATTATATTATTTATTTATGTATCTCATGGTGCGTCTTATCTTTTGTGCTCTGCTAACCTTGCACGAGATATGGCGTGAACCTATGTGTGTATAAAGTTATAAACAAAGATTATATATCGACTAGTAGGTGCCTGCGACTTCGTCCGCGTGGAATTAGTGATTTGTAGAGTTTATTTTTTATCCATTCTGCGTTTTAATCTAAAATGTCAAACTTTATAATTTATTTAGATAAGTATTCGTACCAAGTTTAAATTCTATTACCTCAAAGAATAAGATTAAGCAATGCCTAGGTACCGATTGACGACGATTGCGATGGCACCAAATACAAATTTTTAAATCTATTAGGATAACGCGAGTCTCATTCCATATCTTAAAATGGAAAATGGACTTATAAGGGATGATGGTATTTCACATCCACCACATTGAATCTTAAAATCGTTTTCGTAATCAGCGCCCCGATAAACTATACAAACAATAACCATGCAGATTTTGCACCCCCGTTCCACCTTATAGGGGTTGAATTCTGAAAAAACCCGAAACAGTTGTTTACTCATTTATTGATAAGAGTACCCCTGTAAAGTTTCGGATGAAATAATTTAACTAATCTTGTTTCCCTATACAACCTTGGACCACCGTTTCACCCCTTTATGAGATGAATTTTGAAAAATACTTTCTTAGTGTACCCCTAGACCTCATAAGGAGGGTCTAATCTACGTTTCGAGGAAATCCAACCGCGCGTTAAAATTCATCTATATAAAAGTTCGACACACTCAATCCCTTTTTTAGGTTAGGGGACCTAAAAATGATAAACTTTTTTATTCATTTAGATAAGTATTTGTGTTAAGTTTCAAGTCTATTAATACTAGAAATACGATTACGGTAGAATTTTTAAAGCCCTGATACACGTTATTCTTTATTTCTGGCCTTTAGTCAAAATACCAAGTTACTTAAAGAGTAAGATTTCTCTCTCAATTTCAATCAATTTACCGCCGAAGTAAAATAGTTAACCACTTCAGCGGTAAATTTTGAAAAATCGTTTCTTAAGAATCCTACCTGCCAAATTTATAGTCTCTAGACCTAGCGGTTTGGGCTGTGCGTTGATATGTCAGTCACTTTCTCCTTTCATACCTAATCAGGTCATAAATTCTGTCACATGTTTAATATAAAATAATTGAAAACAATGTAACCATTTATATACCAAAACTTAACAAAACGTAGATTCTTATGACAATAAAGTTTATTCAAAATGACGTCCGTGATTTTGAATACAGGCCTTCAACCTGCGCGGCCAGTCGTCTATCGCAGCACGAACGAGGTTCATGTCAATATCGGCGGCTGCCTTAATCAAGGATGTCTTGAGTGACTCCAAATTGAGATGAGGCTTTGAGCACGCCTTTTTCTCCAAGTGTTGCCATATCTTGTAATCTAACGGACTCAAATGTGGACTGGAGGAGGGCCAGTCTTCGTGCCGGATGAAGTCGATTTCGCGCGCGGCCAGCCAGTCTTGTGTGCTCTTCGCTCTATGAGCTGGCGCCGAATCGTGTTGGAATACCCAGTGCCTGTAATTGAACATGGTATGAGAAACACGTTCCACAAGGTTCGTCAGGACTGTATTTTGATACACAACTGCATTTGTTTTAACACATTTCTCACAAAAATGTACCTCTGTTAAGCCCCAATAAAAAAACTCCCAACCATACCATAAGCGAGGATGGAAAATGACCTTGTTGGACACGCGGAATACGGTTGCTCGCTTCTTCACTACTGTGTGCGTACACCTTATCATTTTGTTTGTTGTAGCTCTCTTCTACGGTAAAAAATTTTTCATCCGAAAAAAGATTTTCCCCATATTTTTCCCGCGTACCGCTTGAACAAAGCGCGGCATCTCTTCAGTCTCAGGTTCATTAGACAAGCATTCAAACGATGTCCTGTTTTTCTTCGTTATGCCCGAAGCCCTAAGTCTTCATTTAACACCCTTTGCACCGTGGTTCTGCTTAACCCCATCTGAAGGGCCAACAGTTTCTGCTTACGTTTGGGATTTCTTTGAATTCGCGCCTTCACAGCTTTTATCACTGATGGAGTCCTAACAGACCGAGGGCGACCACTTCTTGACTTGTCATCTACACTAGAGTCTTCATTGTATCGTTTGATGGTACGATAAACGAATCTTTTGGTTATATTAAATTTTTTCAGTATGTCAAAAATTTAAATTGGCGCGTAACCGCAACGATGCAACGCAATAACTGCAACACGGTCTTCTTAAGCGTCCACTCCATATTTAAAAATGGGTGAAATTCTAAAAAGTATGCATTTTTATTTTCATGAAATTCGAAATTCGAATTCAATAAACTTTTTTTTGGCCAGCATTCTAAAAGAAAAGTTTTTACTGTGTGACAATACTTATGACCTGACTGTGTATATGTTTAGATGTAAAAGGTATCAAAATGTTTATACAGCTATATGACAACACACTTTTCATTAAGTTATCACAAACTTCTAAAACTTCTCAATCTATAGAGAATCTCAGATCAAACAAGATAAGGCTCAGAATCGTTTTCAGAAATTTGGTAGTTTTGGATTACAAGTTTATTCATCAAAATCTGTTTCTTCCATTGACTGCGACGCACTTATGCCAGTGCTTGATTCAATCCTTAAAAAAATCTGATACTCGGTTTTAAGTATAATAGAGCCGTCTATGATTCGACCTGGAGTATCTTTTTGTTTTTGACTTATGTATTACTGCTAAAGGAATGTCCAGTATATCGTTTATGGATTTTCTATCGTTGAATTATAACACATAAATTATTGCAAACTAAGTGATGTAAGCAAAGTTGGTTTCATTGTTTTTGGCGAAAAACTTATAAATAAGTTTGAATAGCTTCTCCGTATTTTGTTCACATTCTCCTCATGAGACGGAAATGAGTATTATTGAGTACTATATTAATTACTGGACCTGCAACTTCCGCTATAGTTATCGAGATTTGTTTCGAATTGAAAAAAGATTATGTAGTGATTTTTAAACTGAAATGAACGCTTTTTAGTTTTATTATCTACTTATATAATCTGATATGGTGCTGTATTCACCACATCAACAGTTATCATCACTACTGCTATGGGCTTATTATCTATTGAAGAAATCATGTACCTTTGTCCCAACGTAACGCACGAAATTCTTATCATTGGCAACACTTATCGTTCGACAACTCTATGTCTTTATAATATAGGTATCCGAACTGGCGTAGCTTCTTCTTTATATAGTATAAGCACCCCTGCGATACAAATATTTATAAATCGGCATCTTTGTTTTAAAAACTATTCAAGGAAATTCCCAAGGCTTATGGTTAGGTTTTAGTCATTACAAGGGTATTAATTGTATAAGTTATATTCGGTGGTTTGGGTAATAATACATATTTACAAATAGCCACAAATATTAGAAATCATTATCATTAGGCTTTAGTTTCTGTTAACAGTTTTGTTAAACTGATTTAAATTTCATTTGATATCGGATACAAGTCTATGCAAGTATTTTAAAGTTGTAATTCAAATGTTTTCTTTTCTATCACAATAAAATAAACACGGTGATCTTTTAAGATAAAAAAGTGAATAACAGTATATATAGCCTTATGATTAGTTCAAAAACTTGATAATTTTGATACTGGTTTTCCACATATAAGTTTTATTGCACTCTTTTTCCTCCTTTCTGGACTAATCTGGCCTAGACATTTCCGGGTCATCAGGTGTTTACGTATTTAACCTAAAAAAGGTACAATTCCAACAGATAAAACTGGGCGAAGGCGTGGAGATTCGCGAAGAGTTGCTACGCGGCGTCAAATGGGGGGATTATAGGAAAGTGACTCGTGGTCTGGCGGCCGCGCTCTTTTCGCCCATCGAGCTGGCCACCTGCTCCGTAACGGGGCAGCGTTGGTCGCGTGCGGGGCAAGAGTCGCGGCCGACGAAGCCGCCCCTAGACCGACGCCGGGTGCACGCACTCATCTCCTACGTTAGCCGCCACTTCCCCGACGTCGAAGTGAGCAGGATAAAGCAAGTGCTAGCCTACAAGTGCAAGGAGAACTGCGCCGCGCTCAGGATGAGAACCGCCAGGTGACATAACTGTTTCTTACCCCTTTATAATGTAGTATTGATTGGCCTATGTCAAATTTTCTATTATTTCTATTTGATTGTTAGTTCTTTAGAATCGGGATGCAATCATTGTTGTTCGTCCTCACGTATTCGAGTAAAATCACACCGATTTATAAGATAGCCCGTTTTGGTAAAACTATAGCCAAGTTCAATAAATCCTGCTATTTAGCCCTTCATTGTTTAATGGTCAAGTTATGGTGTAACAAATGACGACCAACATATCGTCATTATTAAAATTCAATAATGAATTAACAACTATTAACATTTTATGGATTTATGCTATCTCATACTATATTACATACATATTGGATTGATATTTTAAGATTTTGTGAAGTTTCATTATATGTATTGTGTGTGTGATTTGGACATGTATCACTAATTTATCAACACACAAGGAAATAAACTCGCCGTATTTTTTGAGAAGTCTCGAGTTTACATTGACTCCATATGCGATAAAAGACATGGCACGTGTAACCGGCATAATTATTGTGTTTGTTTCCTACCTATTCTGTGTAGGATTTGTTTGATTGTAATTACAGGTTAATGCCACGATGAAATATTCTTTACGGCATTAGCATTGATGAAATTATGAATTCAGCAACCGCTACCTAGGAGAACTAGTAAAATATCGCTCCAATTGGATTCCCCTTAGGTTTACAAAAACCGGCAAGTGTGAGTTGGGCTCGGATACGACGGGTTCCATTCACACGTACTAGCGAATCGAATTATGTCTTGTTCAAAAAAAATATAAAATCACCGCAACGCCACCTACCGTGTATAGTGGTTATTTAAATTTTCTGATTTCAGGGCATCTGCCCGAACAAGTTTTAAAAGTGTTTAAACCTTCAACAATGTAGTCGACAACTTTTATAAAAGAGATGGATGAAATCGGTAAAGTCGTTTTCAAGTTATGGCGTGCAATTCCCCTAATTGTGAAGAATCTGAAAAGTGGAGGATGTGCATAATGGAATGCGTCAAAAATAAGCGGAAAGGAGACATGCTTTCTCTATCCTTAAAATTAATAGGTTGGAGACTGGCATATTGCAAGGCATCCTAGCCAAACCCTATCGGAGGAGGCTGGGGTGCTTTGCAATATGGTAGAAAAATTTAAGTGTAATATATAACTGATTTTAAGAAAATTGTATGGTCAGGTTACGATAGGGCTGGTATTGACAATTTGGTCCAAAAGGCCCATAAAACATTGAAAAAAAGTTATGGCTTGACCAAGGAAGGGAAATAGGGATTAATTTATATACATAAAGATTTGACAGTAGTTCAAGCAAAAACGTCGAAAATATCACTCCTTGTATTAGAGCTTTCCTTATTAAAAAAATCAGAGATACTCTATATACATAACCCAATATTCCCACGAAGTTTCATTAAAACATTCAATTTCACCCTATATATACATATATATGTGTGTGTGTGTACATGTACAGATGGAGCTAAAGAAGTTTCACTTCAGTCGTGTGGTCATAAACACAGTCCTTTTTTTTCGTGTCCCTTACCCAAGTACTTCAGCCACTTAGGTATCAGAATAACGATACTATATTGAATATTATATTTTCTGTCAAATGAACAGTGATTACAGTTGAGCTATGTAACTATATAAGTTGTGGCAATTATGGGGATAAAAGAAACTCATAGATATCATGTGACCTTTGACCTAGTACATCAACTAAACTCATCATACACGCCTTTAAATGTTATTTATTCATAGATGATGTTATTCGAGTCTTGTATTTTGTATATAGTATGGATTTTGTGGGCAACTATAAACTCATTTTAGACTAGCTGTGCCCCGTGGTTTATTAGGGATATCTTCCCGCAATAAAACGTAGCCTATGTGTTAATCCAGGGTGTCAGCTAACTCCATACCAAATTTTATTAAAATCGCTCCAGCCGTTTAGACGTGAATAAGTAACATATATACATACACTCACACACTCACAAACTTACGCCTTTATAATATTAGTGTGATTTAAAGGAGACAGTTTAAAAGTGGTAGTCTGTGCCCGGCAGCGATGAAACCTATATAATTTGAAAGCCTATTTTACGTAATAACATAAGCAGTTTTTTTTTTATTTATCTCCGATTAATTTTAAATCGTGTTTAAAGAAACAAAAATTCCGTTAGGATTCTGGCAACTCAGTCATAAATCACGTCATATTTTAGTCTGAGGCAGCCTAAAATGTCAATCAGTTCAGTACCCTTAGTTCGAGTTTTACAATTACGAAAACTATGATAGTTTTCGCGAGCTCTACTAAGTACTCGTAGAAAGGGTCCTAATTTTAGTGTTTTCGTTTCAATACAAACAGTGTTTAAATTCTATCATTAAATCATTTGCGTCTTCTTAAATTTTACATATATTTGGTAACTGTTCAACTAGAAACATAATTTACAATTACGAAAACTATGATAGTTTTCGTGAGCTCAAACTCGTACTAAGGATACAGTCATGCATGATATTCGTGAAATCGTGGTGAACTTATTATACCAGTTTATGATTGATTTTTCTTGATATAAAATACCTACAAAATATCTAACAATGTAATGAAAGATGAACAGAATGATTATCTCAGCTTTAGTTATCTACTGAATAGAATATACATATTTCATGCTATGGCAACAACTAGTCGATAAATAAACTTGCCGTTTGCCAAACAATATTTATATGATTATTAAAGAAATAAACGGGGATAAAATAAATTATAGTTTTTTGTCAAAAGATTTACAATAATGTGCACTAAATCTCATAAAAAATTGGAGTTCAAGTAAGAATCTTTATAATCGCGCTTTATATCTACATATGTTTAATATTGAAAGAGAAATTAAATTGTCAAGAGTATTGATGTTAAATGGTTGTAAACAAGTGATTTGGTGCCAACTTATCACCTACCTATATTTCGTAACTCATATTCTTAGGAAAAGTTACCATTAGTGGTTAGCGCGTTTGGCTGCGATCGTTGAAGTTAAGCAACTTTTGCAGTGGTCGGTCATTGGTTTGATGACCAAAAATTAACTATCTCGAGCTTCTCCGTGCTTCGGTAGGCACGCTTAGCCGTTGGTCCCGGCTGCATCTGCAGTCGTTAGCACCCAGAAAGCGCACTCGGCGGGCGTGGTGGGTCATGGCGCAATCTTCCATCCATAGGGAAGGACTGTGTCCTAGCAGTGGGGACATAAACAGGCTGTCGATGATGATAATCTGCACTAGTCTTGTACCACATCGCTCGAGGCAGTAATTCAATTTGAAGTAGGTTGTCGAATTGTTTCAGCGAGTCCACCAACTACCTGCTCAACGCGGCCACGCGGCCTCCGCCCTGCGACGACGCGCCCAGTGGCAGCTCGCGCCCTTCCTACTCTAGTTTGTAAGTAAATATTTATAGGATTTTTGAAACGTTATGTACTCTATTATACAAATACTAGTTGTCCCAGCGAACTTCGTACTGCCATAAAAAAATAGGGGTTGGTGGTAGAAGGGTGAAAATTTAAGGTTGTATGTATTTTAAAAAAAAAACAAATCAAAAAAAATCGTGGTAATTATGGTGACCCTTAACGTTTAGGGGAAAGAAAAAAAATGTCCGATTCTCAGACCTACTGAATATGCATATAAAATTTCACGAAAATCGGTCGAGCCGTTTCGGAGTAATTCAATTACGCACAACGTGACACGAGAATTTTATATATTAGATAAGTAGTACCTATTTTATTAGTTGATACAAAATATATTGGTAATTAAGTACCACAAGATTTTTAAAACTAGGTATCAAATGTTGTTTACTATTGCTAATGTTTACGGACTCGCTAAAAGCTCTCCCTACTCCATTTATAAGTGAGGCCTGTGCCCCAACAGAGGAGAAACTGTGTGCTGGTTATGAACTTTTTCTTAACTTTGATTGCTCCATACATAGATAGATACAAACCAAACCAGTCAGTTCTAGAAAAATATTTGTATATTATGATCGAATCAAGCTACTGCATTACAGATTATGTTATAATAAGGCATATCTATTTACTCACGTCCTTAATTATTTACTTACAAGTACGCACGCTTAACCTCGGAGGTTATTCACCTACTGTTGTTAGTTATTTTGTTGATGGGTGTTATCTTATGGCGGCGCTACACTCAATAAATACATCTTCGCATATGTCAAAGCAGTAATCAGTATGTGCGAATTTGGTAGAAATATTTGAGAAATTATCGCAACCGATAAATTAAGATCGATAAACTTTTTGTGCTTATTCGATAGCTTTGATATTCATTTATTACACAATCCGTGTGTCTAATTATAGAAGAGTTATGTATTTATTTCGATTCCGTGAATTGTAAGCCAATGAAATTACGGCCTTCTTACTAAATTTAATAGCTTGCGAAGACAGCTTCTCATACTTTTGATTACCGAGATGGGAAACGAATGGATATTTTAAATAGAAAGAACAGAATTGCTATGATCTGCATGAATATGGCCCAATACTGGCATGCTTCTCTAAACCTAAATTAAAATTTGACAAGAATGTATCTTTGTCATACTCTGAACAGAATGAAAAGGAGATATTGCTGTCAAATCTAGATTTAAGAGCCCTTTTACAAAATTCCGCCGCTGCCGTACTGATCGGCGCGTAGGTAGATTTGCACTAGTATATATTGCATTTTACGGGTGATGTTTCGAGTCTTATAAAAATAATTAATAATGAACTAATTATAAAATATATACATATTTCAGTAGTTCAATGATGGTAGATTAGTTTTATGAAAGTTTTTGATAGTAATTCTATTTATTTCAATATCAAAATACGAGGTAAACCTGCATTATTTTTTGGGGAAACTCACGGAGGTTAGATGTTTTTTTTTGATAATTAATGAGATGGAAAATCAAAATTCTAATACATTATGTTACAACAAAAACATATTTCTGATGTTGTAGTAATTAATTTGATCTAATTTATTGAACATTATTGAGAGATTGAGGCGTTTGAATCTAACTACTGAAAAAGGAAAAAAGTATTTGTATATATTCTACATTAACTTACAATAGGAAGAATAAATCTAGTGCTTTACTTCTATTGGAAATAGTCAAAATCTTTTCTAAGAGGGTAAACGAGGCGCTCAAAAATTATGATTTTTTTGCAAAAAATGTGAAAGGACTCTTTAGTTTAGGGAATCAGGCCCATTCGATTTTGCTCCATTTCACATATTTTTTCGTGTTCATTATCAAATTACAATATGGAATGGGGTGTTGGAAAAAATAGGATTGCAGTGATCGCCTTGCACAAAGTGGGTATAGAGCCGCTGATCCGTATCAGCCGTATGTTCGTATATCGTACTATCAACACATACAACAACATTTCGTCTGTCGAAGACCAGAAAAGATCGGGGCGGCCGCGTGCTGTTAGCACTACAAGGAGTGAAATCTTCAGCCATAGTGTATCAAGATACAGTCTTGGATCATGTTATGAAACCTCCCAGCAATACACTTTTTAAAAATAAACCGTGGAGTTTCCGGCACGATTCTGCACCTGGTCACAAGGCCAGACCTTAACCCTTTTGACTTCAAATTATGGTCAATTTTAGAAGACATGGCCTGCTCTAAACGACACGCCGACATCAAGTCTCTTAAAAAACAATCAGTGGCGAAATTTCCCTTGTAAACCGTGCATAAATCCATAGATTCGTGGCCAAACAGATAAAAGTCCTGTATAAAAACCAAAGGTGGCCATTTCGAATAGATTTATTTTTTAAGAAACTTTCATAAATATGTAGGTATAAATTTTAATAATATTACATTACTTCATTAAAAAAAGCATTTTCATTTGTAAAAGAAATTATGGCTGGACTAGGTATAATATGAATATAGCAGGCGCGCTCGACGGTCATTCCCTGTAAATACTCTCTCCAAAATTTAATTTAATATGATAATTCATACAGCTTTAGGAGGACGAAATACTTCCATAACACAACATGGGCTTATTTCCAACTAGAATAATGACGATGTTATATTTAACAAATGACACTGTCTCGTATAATAAGTTGCGACATACCATCATGTTTTATTCTTAGAAGAAAACAAAGAATATACAGTTCCTTCCTTTGGCATATGACATGGTACTTAATAGTAGTCTTGTGCAATAATAACGGGTATATAAATATTAAAACATTTCATTTTTATTTCAATAGGCAGACTTGGTGATGCTGATTACAGTTATTAATGTATTGATTCACGTACACATTGATCTAAATGTTATAAAATAAATACCGTGAAACTAAATAATGCAGTATTCCTTTGGTAATGACGTTCAGAATATAATAAATTTATTAACAGAAAACGGTATTGAATTCCAATTAATCTATTTATTTTAGATCAATCGATTAATCGACTGATTTAGTTGACAATAAGGCCCACTTAATCTAAGTTTTTAAATAATATTTTATACAAAATCATATTTACATCGTAATCTATTTGTATTGACTTTAAACATTTGGAAAACATGTAGTAATGTATCAAACTGGATTTAGATTACTTTTGATATAAGTTGGTGCAACTTCGAAGGTCCGAAATTTTCAGTAAGGTTTTTATTATATATAGCCAGGTAGGCAAATGACTCTTCCCACCTGATGTTAATTGGTGATAAAGTCCAAACACGAAGATAGCTGGCAAACTGCCACACCAACCATCCTCACCTTGCAGGCCTGGCAAAATGCTTCTTCACGCCTCGCTTAAAGAACCCCAGATTGAATGAAGGGAACACGTGCGCGGGCAAAGAATTCCACTTACGAACAGTACGACAAAGAAAAGTCACCAAATTTCTTTGTTCGTGTAGGTATAGTGGCCACAGTAAGTCGGTGGCAACGTAGCTGGCCTATGTTGCCAACGCGCGTGGTCCTCTGAAGAAAGGTTCCATCGTTGTTGTTGTTAATATTATTTGGGAGTTTTTAATTTTATGTCAACAACAAGATTTTTCATTATACAACTAAATATGTGTTTATTGTTTACAGTGATTCGTCTAAGGGGCAAGGGCAGGGCCCGGGGCCGGGCGGGGAGGAGGCGCGCGGTGCGGGGGAGGAGGGGGCGCAGTGAGCCTGTTGCATATCAATTTCATAATCTTGTTATTTTTTACCAAAAATAAGAGAAAAATCGAACGATACTCATGGACAGCGGCCGGGCGCAGCGCGCGCGCCGGCTCCGGTACAGAGATATATATTTATCGGCGCGCGCGCTGCGACCCGCGCCGTCGCACGTGTAAAATATTCATATTTATTTAGGTGATATTTTTCTATTGGCTACTGATAAGATTTTATCTCGTTATGTATCCGCCGGCCACGCCGGGGTACATTGTCGTATGTAAGGATGTGGTATGGAGTCGTGCCCGAAGCTCTAGCAATAATTTATCAGGTTCCTAAGACATGTTTCGTAGTTAGGTTCTATTTGCACGAATATTTCGCGAACACTGCCGCTTGTTTTCTTAATTTTTTTCGATGATATTAGTCGTTTAGTCGCTTCCTTTTTACTTTACGTAAAGTCATTATCGGAGTTATGTTGAAAATTTGTATATGAGGCATTTAAGTGCTGTACGAGGGACCGTTGCAATTGCAAAGTAAATATATCAAAATGGCATAATTTTTAGGACTAACATAGAGATATTATAGTCATTTCGTTTTATAGGTGTAAATGATAAAGAATTTATTTTGGAGTGTCAGGTTTGGATTTGTAAAGTCTTTGGAGAGCTGTGATCTTGATGGATATAAATAAAGCAGTCATATTTTTAAAATATAAATTAAGAGTTATTACGTAATTAATACCGGATGTACAGAATAACTGTATGATGGTTATGTTGTGGGTGTAAATGGTAATAAGTAATCGTCCGTTAGCTTTCACTCCGCACCAGGCACCAAAACAGAACAGTCGTCAATTGTGGGTTGCGGGTGAGGAGCGGTCCCACACATCGCGCACGGATGAATTTATCATATCAAAAAAGCAATAACTATTATTTGATAAAGCTATTTTTAATTTTTAAAACTATTTTAAAGTTGTTATTAATGTAGTTAGTAAATTAAAAAAATAATAATACATCAGAGTCCACAGTCATCCTTATAGTTCTTTTGAACAATAACTAAATCCTCATAATAAATTGTGTCTCACATTTAATACGTCATATCACTATATTATATTACTTAGGTTTTTGATTATTGAATTATGAATGTATGGCAATCATTATGCGTAGATCCGGCCACGGTAACGTTGATTTTGGGACTGTCTTGTTTTAATCGTACTCTCACATCAATTCTTAAGTATAGTGAATATGCCGATCTCTCGGCCGGATTAGTAATAAGGATATTGCAACACTAAAACAAGAACAATTATAAAAAAAAACACCTTATGACAGTGCAGCATTCAAGTTACAGATTAAAAATTGGTGTACCTATGAATAACTTACAGTTACCAGACTTAGGATATTTTAGTAGACACGCAGTGCTACGTAGTGAATTCTTACTAACTTATAATATTTTGCGATGCCAATTAAAAAGTCTAAATGCTCAATTTTGCCAAATTTACTTGCCGAGATGCGTCTTGTCTATTATTTTCGTGTATTTATTGTCCTTTAGGATGTGATTCCCATCAGACTAATGAATTTTAGATAATTTAAACAATATGGGAATGAGTACATTGCTCAATATGGAGTGCGTCTTTGAAATGGGATTATGTAAAATATCATTAAAAAAATAATTGGAAATTTTTGGCCCAATCGAAGTTATATCATTAGGAAAATAAATTTTAACTTAAAAAGTAATTATAAATTTAGGGAAGAGAAATGGAAAGGTTTAAACAATTTGCAAATGTAAACATTATGCGACGAACGCGCGAGATGCAATATGTTAATTTAGTGCCAAATGATATAAGTTAACTCGTAGCAATATATTGTATCCTAATGCTCTTGTGTAATTTCTCACGTAGTGTTAATAACCTATGAGGTTTCAAAGGTTTCTTTTACAAGACTATATAATAATATATTTATACAGGGAAAGTGTTAGGTAATGTATTGTTGTTCGGAATTATGAGTGTTGTTGAGGTATAATACTCATTGTGGCAGGGTGTAAAAATAAAAGTAACATATCCAAATTACGTAAAACGTCAATGCGGTGTTGTCCATGATAAGAAGTGCACAACCTTTTCTACCCTAGTCTAGTATTTTGATATGTATGTTAGGTGACATCGCAATAACACGCGCCCAAACCATAATAGGGGCATATACAATATCGAAGAAGGCACTTTCTTTAGTATCATGCCGTTATTTTTACACTCTGATCTGTACATAGCACTGAATGAGCAATGGAACAAGAGAATTTATTTACTCAAATAGTTTTTTTTTATTATCTATTGTATTTTTTTTTACTAATGTAATAATTATTATTTTGCATTTTATGAACTGTAGTGGCAGCTGTCCATATACCTACAGTAACGATTCGTCAATTTAATAAAAAATCATTAGGATTTCATGAATATTTACTACAAAATGATACATCGAACATGACACATGGGGCACAAATAATATTTGTAACAAAAAGATTTAGTTTTATTTGCTTGCTTATTTTAAGGTACGATACGATAGACGATCCGTTAATATTATTGATGCTGACTTGGTGTCTGATGATGATATAGATAGGTGAAACCCTAATGGCAAGTTAATTTTCAATGAGCAGATGTATAATGTAACTTTATAAAAAAGAGAACAACATCGAAGCCACTGTGCTGAGAGTGCACAGTGTTGTGCCAAAATTACGTACTAGTCTTTAAAAACAAATGTTGTTATCATTTTCAGATTTTATTTAGTCCAGAATGTGTTTGTTCCTGTGCTGTGAAACATATTATTTCAAACAAATCAACACGATACGAGGGCGCATGATGTGGTTGTAATTTTTCTGTTACACTTTGATAGTCAAAATAAACGGATCTGTTTGACGAGTCAAATAATTTTATAAGTATGTATAGTTATTAATATTATAAAGTCGACCACATTGTGTTTAAGGTTAAGAAATATTAATAGGATACGTTAGTCATTTTATAAGACTACTTTTTCTAAACCGACTAAAACTATTTATATTTTAAAGTTGTTAATGCTTTTTGTTCTTAAATTATATTCTTATTTTGTATGTTGGGGTGTCTGATTGTCTTTGAGATATCTTGTGATGATTCTGTAACTCTGATGTCAAATGTCTAAAAAAAACGAAATACGTAACAGAACTCTGCCTTTATGAATTCCAACTCAAAATAATAAAATTTAATGTATTTATACTACCGACATATTATTTTTTAATTCTGTATCAAATACAGACCTCTGGTACTAGAAGTATCATTCATATTTTTTTTTCAGTTGATTTTGAAAAGATACAATATCATCGGTAAGTAGTTTTATATTGTGATCTAGCGTTCTACTATATAGATGACGTGGTTTCTGTTAACTGTATAATAGTCTAGTCTCGTCAACTTTTATAAACAGTTCGAACATTTTGATAAATAAATAAAACCATAGCGGCCTCTTCCAGATACATACGTTAATAAATTTTTGAGTTTGATAAAAATTATTGTGTAACTTTATTTGCAATAAAATAGAATAGAATTATTGAAATAAATAATTATGCTTTTTCAAAAACAAAATATTTTTCAACACATTTGCTCAAAAAATGCATTTTTCGAAAATTCAAAATTAGGGCCCATACAGCGAAGCGTGCGTAAAATTCATTACACACGCTCCCATACATAGCACCGTGCGTATTCTTTATGGTTTCTTTTTTATTTCCATCGTCCTCCTCCTCGGAAGCACTTTTATTCTTTGTCTCACTTTAATAATAATAAGAAAAAGAGACGAAAGATGTAGTTCTAAATTTCACGTGGCGCCATTAAGAAATGCGCACTATTTTCTTATTAGAAAAAAATTGCTTCATTACTTAAATTATGTATAATGTTTTCTGGCCAATGTGTTGAAAAACGTTGTATGACATTCGTGCGGATTGGTATTTACAAACTCTTAACTATGGTAAACCCTTGACTTCATGTCTCAGGCTTACATTCGTCTACTCGTTTGTAAATAAGCAACTTACCGCACTAATATCATAAGTAACTATTAGGTATCTACTTACTTTAAATTACATTCGTGTTTCATCCCACTGTCATCTATATTGTATCCTAACTTCCTAAAAAGTGTCATTACATGAGTCAATAAGATTGTTAAGAAAATACGAAAAGTTGTGTTGGTTTGTTGTTATATTTAATAGTATTTATAAAATGCACATAATAATAATTTAGCTTTTAGCTTGTGCAATATTATTATTCCAAATTGTTTATAAAATCTGTTATAATTTCTTCGTAAATTGTTATTAAATATTTTTATAAACTTAAAAGACAAAGGCAACCGAAATTATATTTTCGTTGTGCATTTATTTCTAATTTTTATGGTATTTACCACAAACTCATTGTGGACTGTAACGTCTGCATCTGTCAAAACCTGTTAATTAGGTACATAACATAGATTTTTTTATATATTCTGATATTGTGAGTCAATTCTAGTAATGTTAATAAGTTATGATGTTTCCTTTTTGTTTAGAATAATTTACATTTATGAACAAATTTTTACTAAAGTTGCTCAACCAAGATGCAATGATAACTCGATAATAACTACAATTTAGACAAGATATAATTTTATGTAACATTTTTTGTATGATTATTTATCTGATATTTCAGTTTATATTTTGTGAGTTATGGCAGCGCATGTTAATCTTATGTTTATTCTTAAGAGAGGCCAAATGTTGACTTGCTTATGTGAGACTGTTTTGCCAAGAATGAGAAAGTATATTAATTACCTACATTGTTTTAAAATAAATGCTTTTATATAAAAATACTGTCTTATTTTAGTAACTGTAGGCGTCACGCACGCCGCTTGATTTAAAATTACTGGCGTACTAGCTGAACCAGAATGCAACTACTTCGGCTTGTTTATCTAATTATTGATAAGACACTCGAGCCGCTAATTGTTACTCTGGGTGAGTTATTATTTGGTTTCGGCAATCCTTATTAGTTTTCTATCTCTCATCATGGCGTCTACACGCCCGTTTTGATACCCAACAAAAAAAAAAGATAAGAAAAACAGATCAGTTGGGACGATTCATGCATCCAATTTGAATAAGGAATTAGTAAAAAAATAGTAGTGTAGGTTCATAATATGTTATTTTTTTTTTTTATTTAATTTATTTAATCAAGCAATATTACAATTATAATACATATTAAAGTGCAAACAAAAACCAGAAAGGTTTATTCGTGCACTACATTCACCGCTTTACATCTAGTTACAATAAATAAATATAGGTTGTCACACTGTAGTAACTATCATTAAATAACAATATTTTATAAAATAAGTGGGTATGTTGAAAATAACAAACATTGGCATGACAATTAATTTGCACTCGCACGAACCTATACCGGTTGGGTAAGTTTTTTTTTTACTAGCTAAGCATACAAGTCGAAATGCAGTTATCGTAGATAAAGGATGCTCCAATTGTAATGATAAATATGACTTTTTTTAATGTTTTTATTTTAGGTTCGTTGTAACGGTTATTTTAAATGATTTATTTTTAATTTATTGATAAAGTGACTTTTTAATGTGCGTTTTATGTTTCTTTTATTTAGTGCGTTTTTTATTTCAAATGGTAACTTATTTACTAAATTTGGAACAATGAATTGTAATGTTCGTTGCCCATATAGGTTATTTGATTTTGGAATTAATAATTTATTATTTGCAACGCCTCGAGTTAACTTACTATGAGATGAAACCTTTTGAATATCAGTATTGAAGAATTGTTCTGTTAAGATGTTATATTTAAATTTCTCCTGAACCGGCATCAATGAGCAATAAGAGAACAATACGTGATAATTGTTTTTATATTTTTCCCTCACTTTACGAGGGACAATGGTTTTTAAAATGCGCATTTGAAGTTCATAGATGCGATGTAAATGTGATTTCGCAGTACGTCCATAACTACTCAGTCCATAAGAAATTATCGATTCCCCCAGTGATTTATATAAATATAACAATATAGGATAAGGAATGTTATGTTTAAGTATAGAAAACTTTGCAAGAAGTGCTCGTAATTTATCACATACGTGTTGAATATGATCGGCCCATGTATTACCATATTGTCAAAATATTTGTTCTATACTTCAGATTGCCCAAAGAGATAAGCCTAGAAGCGTCAACAAGCTACTCTTATATACCCACGCGTTCTAGGCTGTGGACCTTCGGGTCAACGATATTAAAAACCCTAGCTAGGTACAATATCAGCGCTCAAAATGTGTCACTTCGAATTAGCTGCGGTCGACCCACTAAGCAAGTAATCTATAGTCGATGGTTACAAAATATGTCACAGGCACATCAACTCGGCATAGCGAGATTCTTCGTCCAAGCATCAACTGGTACCGTCGACTCACCCGTCGACCAATAGAATTAATAGGGTCTGTCTAGGAGCGCGATCCGGTGATGCGGGGAGGGTGGGAGCGGCCAACACGAAGCGAACGCGTAGTCAAATTCAAGAATTCAAAATATCTTTATTCAAGTAGCAAGTATAATACAACTCCTTTGAATCGTCCATATTTGTTTCCCTACCACCCGATAAGGACATTTTCTAGTTGTGGAGAAAAACGGATGAAAAAATTAACAGCGTCAAATCTTGTAACTATATTCACAAAATATAAGTAATATAAATTTAAAGTAGTGCTTAAATACCGTTAAGCACTCCTTTTTGTCCAATCGCGCGCGGACCATTGAATAGTTAAAATAGTCTGTCGAAGAGCTCACTGAAAATACATATGTGTAATAGTTATACATTATATAGACAGTTAACTGCTCAGTTTAGACACTAGTCTCTCCACAATATATTACTGTAATTACATCTGTTGTATATACAAACAATGTGTCCGTACCAAAATATTTGTATTGTGGTGAGAATAAATAAACATTAATATTATTATAAAATAATAAACTAATAAAAAATGCATGGTCGGTTGCGCAGTCGGCCCTTTTCCTCGCGCTTGTGTCTGGAATATTAGCTTTTGTTAAGAGCGTATTGAAAATTAAGATCAACAGTCATACAAAGACTAAATATGAGTATAATCTAATTCTTATGAGGCAGTCAGAACCACGTAGCGAATAGAAGTTTTTTTTTTTTTTAGTTTACGAACCACCACAACTCTTTCACATACCTATGAATTTAAATTAAGACCCTATGATGATGGGATTAATGGTGACTTTGAATATTTTAATATACACTTATTGTTTTAGACTACGCGATCCAATGTACCTTAGCTAAGGTATTGGCCAACCGATGTACTTTAGCTAAGGTACATTGGATGATTAGGATAGTTAACTGCTACGATTTTTTCGTGATGTTGAATCTAGATTGGGATACACTATATTTTTTTATTTTAAGGATTTGACTTCTTTTTTTTTTTTTTTTTTTATATATTATTTGCAATCAGTCTTTGGACTATGAGCAAATTTATTGAGCGCAACCAAACATGACAGGAGTGGTCGGCCAGCGCCACCACTTCCTTTAAAGAACATTCTTCCTCTTCAGTCTCGAGACGCGGTCAGCTTGCTCAAGCAATTGGCATATTAAAGGATTTGGATGGTTTGAGAGGCGCTCAGTGTACCTCGATATGCAATTGTCTATCTCTTCTGCGACAGTGGGCATGTTCAAGTATTCATGAATTTCGTCATTTTTTGTGAACCATGGTGCATTTACTATTGTTCTGAGGATATTATTTTGAACTCGTTGCAGGCAAGTAATGTTACTTTTGCAAGCAGTGCTCCACAACTGTATCCCATAAGTCCAAACTGGTTTTATAATGGTATTGTAAATAAGAAGCTTGTTGTCGATTGACAGGGCAGAGTTACGGTTCATAAGCCAATGAAGGTTTCTGTATTTTATATTAACTTCATCTCTCTTTTTCTTTAAGTGCTGCTTCCAGGTGAGTCTCCTATCCAAGTGGAAACCAAGATACTTGACGCAATCTGAGTGTGGGAGTGTGTCTGACCCAAGGTGAACAGGTGTCCGTGATGCTAGCGTACCCACGATCAATATACGGTTTTTCATTATGCCATTAAATACTGCGTAAATAGTGCCAAATTAGTGTAAAAATAAAAAAAATAGTGCCTCTTTAATTTAAGAAATAAAGACCATTTTTACTGTGTACGCTACCATGACGTCAAGCTAGCGTACCCATGGCCGACCCCAAGAACGGCATATATTTAAGCAACGAAATTGACGCACAAAAATAGTTCGCAAATAGTGCCCTGGCTTTACAAAATTTCATAATCAATACTCTTAAAGTACCAAAGATATTGAACTAAACATTCTTAGCTGGCGTCAACCTGGCGTACCCATAATAGTTCTCATAGAAAATGAACTTTTATCGTTATCAATTCTATATGTATAAATAGTGTGTCAAATAGTGCCTCTAACAGTAAAAGTATTTTAAGTGAATCCGCATCACAACAATACATAAAGAGAATCTTAAATTCTACGAACAAATGTACTGTAGCACACAAAATTAATTTATGCACTAAGAGATTATCTATATATGTATTTTTACTAAAATAAATAGGTACTTTTTATAAAAAGATATTTTATTTCAATTCGAATTCACCAATCATAAATTCATATAAGAATTTGAACCTACCTACTAAGTACCTCACTTACCTACTATACTACGAAAATATTATCACTTCTGTACATGACTGTACTTTATATATAAAAATAATTTAATTGCTTTTTTTATATTGTTTTACTGTGAATTCACATAAAATACTTTTACTGTTAGAGGCACTATTTGACACACTATTTATACATATAGAATTAATAACGAGAAAAGTTCATTTTCTATGAGAACTTATATGGGTACGCCAGGTTGACGCCAGCTAAGAATGTTTAGTTTAATATCTATATTATGAAATTTTGTAAAGCCAGGGCACTATTTGCGAACTATTTTTGTGCGTCAATTTCGTTGCTTAAATATATGCCGTTCTTGGGGTCGGCCATGGGTACGCTAGCTTGACGTCATGGTAGCGTACACAGTAAAAATGGTCTTTATTTCTTAAATTAAAGAGGCACTATTTTTTTTATTTTTACACTAATTTGGCACTATTTACGCAGTATTTAATGGCATAACGAAAAACCGTATATTGATCGTGGGTACGCTAGCATCACGGACACAACAGGAGAACAGTTTCCCTTCCTTAATGCAAACGTAATGTGGTTCGATTTTTGACCACTGACTCGAATACGCCATTTTTTCAGCCATGCGTGAGTTTGATCTAATAGGTTCTGTAGCTTTGCACTAGCTATGTCAGGGTCTTTATCGCAGGCAAGGTATGCAATGTCATCAGCGTATGTAGCAATTACAGCGTCGCCAGCAGTGGGAAGGTCGTACGTGAATATGTTATACAGAACCGGACCAAGTACCGATCCTTGCGGGACTCCAGCCTCCACAGCTTGCAAGGAAGATCGTGAGTCATCGACTTTAACCCTGAAGTATCTTTGTGATAGGTACGATGCAATTATGAGGTAAACCGAGTGTGGTAGGTTCTTTTTAACCTTGTACAATAGGCCCTTGTGCCAAACCTTGTCAAACGCCTGTTGCACATCTAGGAAAGACGCGGAACAGTATTCTTTTCTCTCATAGCAAGTTCTTACTGTGTCATATACACGATGTATTTGTTCTATGGTGGAGTGGGATTTTCTAAAACCAAATTGATGTGTAGGGATGAGGTCACATTTATCCATGCAATATTTAAGGCGGGTAAGGAAAATCTTTTCCCACAGTTTAGAAAGTGTAGGCGTCAAGCTAATGGGTCTGTAGGATGTAGGTTCAT